ACCTTAAACCTTACAAACATAGAATAAGCAAAAAATTGACAACAAAGCTAGAAAAAACCTCAAACAATCCATACTCATCCCCATACATACAATTCGATTATATTCAGCAACAAAGACCCGAATATATTCATATTTTATACACAGCTCGTGTCATTTGATAATTCAATATTATGCTTTAAACAATTGTCCTTGATTTGATAAATATACACAACTAGCCATAAAGCATATTGCTCTGCATATCCCAAAACAGGAGCTTTTGGCCATCAATTAAGTTTTCCATTGGCCTTGTGGCTCTTTCCCTTGAACTCGCCTTCCTTTCTGTCAAAAAATGAGTTATGTAAAAATTGTGAATGTGCGTGGCATACGGTTATGTTGGGGGTTATTCGTTAATGATGTAAACTTAAAATTTGAGGTTATGAGAACTCCTATTGTCAAATTTTCACAATCAAATGCCTTTTAGATATGAAAACTCAAAGATAAGAGCTTAACGTCATTTAAGCACGACCCCCCACTGACACCGTGTAGTGTTAGGGCATTAATTATGATAACACATTATTACAATGACAGAGTTAAGTATCTAAAATAATTAATCCTCTAGTTTGAGGCCATCTGATGATTGCATAAAGATATTATCAATATGATGAACAAATTTTGATCTATATTTAGCAAAACTTGTACAATTTCTACCCTATATTCATATTTTATCCCTCTTTTTTTTTGCCACTGCTACTCCAACATTTTTCCTACTCTCCCCTTTTTCCAATCCATGGCATATAATGTAAAGTTGTAAATGTAAGTCGAATACAGATGCAAAGTTGTATGTAACACGATATTTTCCTGACCTAATTCTTCAATACAACAACAACAAATATTCCTTTTTGGAAAGAAGGAAAAAATATAGGAAAAAAAAAAGTTTTTCCTTCACTTGCGAGTAAAATGGAGTTTTTATTGCGTACTTTCGAGTTGTAAGAAATTTTTTACGCACTTATACACACACACACAATGAATCTTTGACTTTCATTTGACATTCTTCCCGGTTTTTTATGTTCGGTATTTTCGTGCCGGGAACAAACCAAATGATTTTCTGAGAATGATGAAAAAATATGGCGGATAATTTGTTGATATTGAAAATTTTAATTTATAGCCAGTAAGCATCGGCAAAAAGTATTAAGTTTCATGCATTTCGTGATGACCTCAATTTGCAATTTTTTTTCAAATGCAATAGTCATAAATGATTGCAGTTAATGTTTTATTTTTACCAGGACTGTTAAGGATAACAACCGATGATGTACATTATATATTAGGTCAGTAGATCAGTAGAGCATAGGATGGTACCGGTAATGTGCATACTTATTTACTAAAAGTACATGCTCATGTAAAAGTCATTTAGCTGCAGTGCAAAAATATATAAAGCTTGACCTAGTTTCGATGCGATAATATTATGAAGAAGCTCCACATACTGCACATAGCAGAATAGATTCTTCTATTAAGCTCATACTCCCTCTTGAAAATGCAAGCAACAACTATTGTCGAATAACTAGGTTAAAATTTATGTAATAGCAGAACTGAGCATGCACTCCAATAAACAACCGGCCGGTATTGTGTCCTCAATTTTTATCCACCTTCATAATACATCTTTAATGCTACTCGGTGCTGCTCGTGTGCATTTATGGAAAATTGACATTGGTACATCCCTCGACACTTTCAAGGATTTCTCATGAGCGCAGCAAAGAATTATACTCAATTTAAAAGTATAAAGCTGCAAAAGTAGAACTAGTTCAAGGATTCATCCTCAATTTCTTTTTTATGACATTATTCATTAACTGCTCGTGCAAACAATTTCGAATGAGATAAAAAAAAAATTGTAGCTTCATGAAAAGTGAGATATTGGATGCGTCGTATTGGATTGATTGTTGACAGCTGAGAGTGAAGTAAGGGGGGGAATAACATTAATGTTAAACTGCCAGAGGAAACCACCCAAAAAAAAATCAAATACTCCATCTACACCTCTGTCATCAGCTGAATAAAATCATGTCACTAATCATGCGAAAATGGAAAATTTGGGTCAATATTTTAACATCGGCAAGAGAAGAGGAAAAATTTTTTGGAGTTGCGAAAAAAACAATAATAAAGCAAGCACCAATACATCCATAAAAATGGAAAATATGAGGCTGTACATGTCGTAGTGTCGAGGAAAAATCTTTATGCCGGAATTGGGATCAATAAAAAAGCGCTGATCCCATTCTGTTGTGTGTGAAAAAATAAAATTGGGAAGAAAAACAACATTCCCTAAGCTTTGAATGGAAGAAGGCAGGAAAAAGTATATAGGAAGTTGAACATATGCGCACATATACACACACATACTCCCATGTCGAAAAAAAATTATTCTAAGTTGTTAATATCTTTAACTAATTCTTTCTATTTCCGCATTCGAGTTTGTAGATTTTTGTTGATTGCTTGACTTACATCAAGTACATGATTGAATAGAACCAAAAAAGGGCCTATTGTTTAAAATAATGCGTAGATTTTTTTGACCACGCACACACACACACAGTCACAAATTCCATAAAATAATAAAAAGCTTTTTAAAGCTTCTTTACAGCATAAAATTTAATTCTGTAAAATAAAATTACATACACAGAATAGAATGGCCTTGTCATATCTGAAAATTTATGTATTTTTTTCTCTAAATAAAGCCAAAAAGCAGCAGAATGTGATGATTGAAGAGGCCATGAAGCTAGAATGAATAGCTAACGATGTAAAATATTTGTGTGTGCTAGTTTTATTGGCATAACTGTTGATTTGACGAGCGACCAACTCCACTTTACTTATTGAATTGTTTTCTTTCCATAGCACTTTCTATTGCCATAGCAAAAATTTTAAAAAAAATAGGAAAAATTTCCCTTTCATTATATTTATGCGTATGCAACAAGCGGAATAATTTGTAAATGTTATTTTATTTTATTTTTCAACAAAACTATATTTCGTAATAACAGCAATGACATACGTAAATTAGTTCACAATTAGGCGAGTTAGAGTAGAGCTGTCATGTTGTAAGCATTAAAGTTATACACGGGTATGAGCTTAGAGATAATAAAATATTTTACTATTTTGTTAAATTGGGGAAAATTATGTCTAGTAGCGAGCGATTCTCATATTACACATTATTTTAAATTGACAACGTCATTAAACGCCACACTTTGATGCCGTATGGAAATTAAATCTTGTTTGTTGAATCTATTCGAGGGAGTGATCATAAATTTTGTCTAGAATTAAAAATGACCCCACATTTACTTATATATACACCTAGTAGCTACACCTATTAGCTATACATAGCAGCTTTTCCTAGTAGCTGTAACTAGTAGCTATACCTAGGAGCTATATCTAGTAGCTAGTAGCTTTACCTAGTAGTTCATACTAAAGACCTATACCCAAACTAAATGAGAGAAGAATTTCTTAAACTCCAAACAATATATATACGTCACTAGTAACAAACCCCCCACACAGCATAGTCGTCTATGTGGAAAGCAATCAGACTGACTTTGCTCATTAAAATGTGTCATCATCGAAAATCAAATATTCACTTATTATGTCAACAGAAATCAGAGTGAGAGTGAGACCAATGGCATTATTATTATTATTATTTCTACTATCGAGTATGTTTACATACATTTATACATGTCTTCCATTACACGAATGTATGTTCTCTTATCATACTATGCCGTTGCACATAATTAAAGTTCAAGATATGCTCTGATCTATCTATTTATTTATAGCAATTTTCTCCTCTAATTTTAATTAAATTACTTTCATTTTTTATGTTCCGTACCAGTTTCATAAGCATTAAGCGAGCACAGAGCTGAGTATCGCATGTGCATCGCAAACGACAAAACTAGAATACATAAAGTGAAGGTCGTGTTTTGTAAAGTTTTATATATAGACGAAAAAAATTGGGTCACTATAGCTATGCTCATAACTATGTTGTGCATCTCTCATGGATTAATGTAGCACTCTTTTGTTATTTATGAGTGAATAAATAAATAGATTCTGAAAAAATGGCTTTTTAAACAAATAAAAAAATTATTTTGTAGTTTGTGGTGGGCATTAATTAAACAATTTTAATTGGCCTAATTGTACAATATTCGCAAGTGAATATAATGAAGGAAATTTTTGTTAAAACAAAAGCAAGACAATTTTTAATGATGTTATTCGCAGTTTTATGCTGATTAATTTGCACATATTTGAAAGATTATTTCTTTCGTAACGGTTTTTTGGAATTTGAATTATGTTTGCAATTTTATTGGAGTTACTGGTACATCGCAGTACCATCTCTTGTTTTAACTGCCCTATTTAAATTATTTGACTTGTGCATAACGCGCGCAATTATATGTACAGTGCGAATTATTTCTGAATTATTTTATTTTAAGCTGAATCTATTTTCACGAATATAACGCGCATTCATTTGTATAATACGCACAATATTTTTACATAATACGCTCTATATTTTTTGAAAAACATTAAACCTAGTCTGAATTTTATTTCATGCAAAAAAATGTCACAAAGCTTATGTAAATCAAAGCATAAAATTGAGACACATGAAAATTAATGGCAAATAATTGAATCATTTAAAAATGATTTACACGTTACGCCTAATAGAAAACTTAACCAGCTAGTAAAAGTAATAAAATATTTTAATTTAAAATACGAATTAAGAGAAGAAAGAGAAAAACTCACACGACGAGGTATAAAAAATAGAAAAGAAAAACAATGGAAATGAAAGTAAATTTTATTTGAATTATAGCGGAAACTAGTCATGAAAATTGCTCAATTTTTGTCAAAATTACAATATTTTCCGCATCTTATAATTCACACTTAAGCACTTTATTATGTGCATGAAAGGTTGGTTTATGACACATTATAAAAAAAAATGATTTCTTAATTTCACATCACATGTATGCCTTCATAATTATGATATTTATATATATTTTCTTCACTTACAGACTCGATTATTCAAATGCACATGGAAAAATTGCGGTTCAACTTTCGCAACCGATCAACAAGTGAAATCACATGTTCGCACTGTACATCTTGGGTAAGTTGAAACAAGTTTGCTTGAATGTTCAACATGAAAGATTTATTTTCTGCAAGTCAAGTCCATCATACAGATTCCAATCAGCATTTAAACTTACATAAAAACCCATAAAGTTTTAAATTGCATTTTACTGGATATCCAGTATATTTTGATGTCATGTTGATTATGATGATGAAGGATAAATTGTCATCAATAACGATTCCTCCTTATTTCTACAATAATTAATCTCATTAATGTTCAGTTCTATCCAGAATGAGGAAAAAAATAAGTCTAATAAATTACATCCAATAAGTGCATTAGCCGTTCGCATTTCAGCACGATCATGAACTTTAATTACTTTAACGCGAAAAAAATATAGTATAAGACAAGAAAAATGCCTTTTAACTGTAATTGATTCCGGGAATGATTCATAAGATAATTTCTATATAAACCCACAATTCTTTGTGTCACATCATCTTAATATATAATGATAATTGCAGTTGTGGATGACACATGATGATGGAATACAAGGAAATTAAGTTCAATCAAATATATAAATGGCCTTAAGCTGCATAGCCTTATTGATTTATTAGCTTTGCTCGGATTTCTTTATTACAGTTTAAAGTTATTTGATTTTTTCACTTACGTATTCTAATTTTAAGTACGTATGTAAACCAAAATTAATTAAATCCACAAGCTAAAACATCTGCCGTCAATCTTATTTGACATTTGCTGTTGACATAAAATGACGAGAATACGGAAATCAAGTTGTATCAAATGTATAACACCAAATAACTCATAAAAACTTAAAATATTGACTTTTAAAGCACGAGAAAAACTAAAAACAGACAAGAATATGGATTGTTTGCTTATTTTAAGATGCTCCAAGGTTGTTCCGCTGAGCGTAGTTGTAAATGCCGATGAGCACTATAAAAAGAATTTAATTAGTTAAACATAGAGGAATCTGTTATGCTTATTCATGTATTCAAAATATCTACACACAAATAAAAAATTCGGTTCCGTTTGAATACACACTTGAGGGTGTGCATTTATATAAATAAAATTGGAACTCGATTTACATTCACTCACTCATGCTCAATGACATTAAATGTACGGTAATAAATCACTAAATGCAATTCTCATTTTTTTGAATTTATTTAAATAGACCAAAAAATAATGACGATGAAGACTTCTACTTTACGGATTTGGAAGATGAGGATGAGGCAATTGAAACAGACACAAATACAACATCATCACCGCCATTGCCACCGACATTATCACACAGTGATATGGCAAGACCACCACATGAGGATCCAGAATATCAACGAAAAATTGTCGGAAACATTCGTCAAGGACTTTTGATGTCTTCCGGATCAGCTAATGGACAGAGTAGTTTTGCAAAATCGGGTCCAATAACTTCAGGAAGCAATACAGTTATTCACAATTATGCATGGTCACAGACAAGTCCGGTAAATAATTTTTTAATAAAAAAAAATGTGAACTTTACTGATGCAGAGAATTTAATGAACTTATTCTTATTGCCCTTCTTCACAGACATCACCACAAAAGCATGTAAAACTGTCACCAAGGCCGTCCACATCATATGCACCATATACTTTGCCATCCAGCACATACTCTTCATCAAATTATCCCGTTTTGGTGCAACAATATCATTCATTGTCTTCATCATCATCTCAAGCATCAATTACAAAATTATCACATAGTTCGCCACCTCAATTGCCACCACCACCACAACAGCAACACACGCCAGTGATACAGACAACAGGCAAGTGTATCAATCAATCGGGAATCGCTAAGATGCGTCCACCGGGTATGTCAACGCCACTTCAAAGACGAACACGCGGGGAGAATAAGAAGTGCCGAAAAGTTTATGGCATGGATAATCGTGATTCATGGTGTACACAATGCAAATGGAAGAAGGCATGTAGTCGTTTTGGTGACTGAAAATTACTGAATAAGCAACATGTGCTGCCCCCTAAAATTATAATGAATAATAATAATATTAATAATAATAATAATATAATTAATGATAACTGTAGTCATTTAAGTAACAAAACATTTTGCAATTAAACAAAACTGATAATAATCGTTATAATTATACACAAAATTGATTCGACGATGAGAATTATTATATTGGACGATATAAAGGAACGTTAAGAAGTAAATTCTCTTATATTTGATCAAAACAAAAAGTTTTTATTAATATTGCAAGGAAAAAAGCTTAAGTGATAAGTCCTTTCAGGATGAAAAAAATCTATTAATGCTATTAAGGATTCAAAAAAAAAATATTATTTATACTATAGTTTAACTAGATTTTTTCTTATTTGCAAGGAAAACAATGTTTGCAATTTTTAATTTTACTATAAGACTCCAATTATTGTTCATATGTCTGCATGTTCATGATTTAAATTGATGTTTGGAATGGTTTGGAGTTGGCTGGACTGTGATTGTTGGGATTTGTGAGGGTTTTGAGGACGAGTAAGCTTGAATTTCTATTAAATTTGAGAATTTACTTAAGATTCGATATGCACGTAAGATTGATCTACATTTTGATGTGTACATAATGATTTAAAGTACATTCTGATGTGTACTTAATAGTTTACATACCTGTTGATGTGTAATTATCATTTTTCGTACATTATTGATGTGTAAATGACAATTTTACGTACGTTTTTCCTCAAAACTTTCAAATAATTTCGACACAATTTGTTGCAAAATTTCAAATTGATTTCAACCGTTAAATGTAAAAAGTGAAAAGGATTTCTATTCATATATTTTAAAATTCATTAAACTTATTTCTCATCTCTGTGAATACATAACAAAAAAAAAAAGGAAAGAAAACTATATTTTAAATTTTCTCGTGCGATATTAAATAAAATGATAATGAAAAGATTGTAAAATTGAATGAAAATATCTTTCTTTCTTGAATTGATATGTAAATATAGCGATATTAGCTTCTGTAAAGTTGTTGCTCGGGAAATCATTAGTTATTATACACAATATGCATACATTACTATTTTTATGATTATTAACTATTATTGACCATATACACATACACAATTTTTTTTCTTCTTAATCAATTAATTAATTATATATATTTTTTTGAACTTTTTTTTTATGTTTGAAATTTTTGCGATATAAAAAAAATCTTGTTCATTGTTTTATTAAGGCATATACATAATTGACATGTGATTGAGTGACTGCGATGATTGTTTTCTTCGGAAATTTATAATAATATGAAAAATTTATTTTCTTCCCTTTTTCTAAGTTTTAAATTTGAAAATTTATCAAAAAAAAAATTGAAATTTTAAAAAAATTACTTAGAATATGTAAAATGATGAATAAGAAAATTATTGAATTTATTGAGAAAAAAAAAATGAAAATTATGGAGAATTAAAATTCATGTGAAATTAACATCATGTAAGTTATATTAGAAACTATGGTAAGGAATGGAAATGAACAGTTACTTTAATGTCCAACATGAGGATGATATCTTGTTGATCAGAATCCGAGCTTGATGCTCAAAACCCATAAATCACCCTCATTGGTCACTAGAGTCGTACAAACTATGAAATAATGAAACGGTTAGAGTTAAGGATTAAAAAACAAATTGGTCATGAAAAAAAAGAGAAAGTTAGCATGTAAAGGTTCCGATCATAATACTTTTCAATATTATCTTAGTAGTTGGCTATAAGTGAAATGAATTACATTATTTTATTACATAATGAAGAATTTTGCATCAAAAAAACTCGCGTTTAATTTAATGTAGCACACCAGTTTTTTGAGAGGAAGTGACATGAAGAAGTAAAAATTTTTTAAAGAAAGTCATCACGACAGAGTTGTTGTCTGTGGTCATGAAAATGTTTCGCGAATCGAATTCAATTTCGGATGTTGCTTAGTCATTGCCACTTGTGGGTAGATGAAAAATATTGAAATTATCTGTACGAGCAAAATTAATGACTAGATTAAAGAAAGGTGTAGGGTAGCTAAACTTTTTATAAGGATGAAGGATTAACCTAGGAACTCTCGATGTCCAAACCTATACGAAGATTTCACGGAAAGTACCGAAAATCAATCAGTATCAGTTATTTCGAGCATTCCTAGTTTATACTTCAATTCACTTCTATCAAGAAGCTACCTTGACCACACCTCTACCTCAAGACACACAACTCTGTCAATATCAAGACATGAAAGCTACACAACACACTCCAAAGCATTAAAGACTCAAAGCAGACACGAAGAAATGACAAAAAAATATACTGCCAAGTCCAAAAAAATCATTATTGATGACCACGTTCTACAATAATAGACGTTCTCAATAAAGCTTCATGCCACTTAATGATGACTAAGAGAGATGAAAAAGTAAGAAAAAATTGAATGTGTTTTTAGAATGATGAGATGTGTATCTTTTGAAAATTGAAAAATAACATACATACACACTACATTATAGCCATTATGGTGATCTAAAAACCCAATTAATAAATATTTTTATTTATCAAGCATAAATAATAAGATGAATAGAAATAAAAATGCAAACACACACAGCATCAGCACAGGCACTACAAAATAGATAACAACTAATTAATTATATAGTGCGAAAGAATGAACAAGGAAGTGAAATATGAAAATTGTGTGTGTTCATTTATTTAAAAAAATTAAGATGAAGATGAAGAAACAAATGTTGTGTGCATCTACAATGCGACAATACAAATTATAAATTATAAAGATCGTACAGAAATGAATAATGTTAATAATAATATACAATGCGCAATCTTTTTGATGTAAAACAATGACCGATTTATGACGAGGAAATAAGGAAATATGAAGATGAAAAGAATAAGGCACATAATAATGGAAAAGTTGATGATCTATGAAGATATGACGATTGTGCGTTGGATAAAGGTTTGATTTGGTTTACTGGATCTTAATTGATAGAATCTTTGATTACAAGAAGATAAGAATCTGCTTTATTGGATCTTTTACAATTAAAATCATGTAATCAAGCAACTTTTGGAGCTTCTTAAACAGTAGAAGATTTAAAATAGCTTGGCATGATTTTCGTGAAAGGAAGTTCCTATCCGAATAGCTTTTTAGATAAGAAAAGACACAGTTCTTGTTGTTACAAAAGATTCCAAGACAACAAAGCATCTAATTCAGTTCAAAATCCATCAAAATTGATAGACAATCTCAAGTTCTAAATCTTCAAGCTCTTAAAACCAGGTCAAACCAATCCACAGACACAAATTCACCACAAAAAGATAAGATCAATATCAGAAATATATTGATGGATATGGAATGAGTAGTAAATGAGAAAGGCAAAGAGTAGGAAGTACAGAACAAGTCAAGAGCGACGAGCGATGAGCGAAAAGAGTTAAGCTAGGAATTCAGAACAGAAAGTAAAGAAATAAAAATGATTTTGGCAGTGAAAAGGTAAAAGTAAAGGCGTGTAAGATTCGAAATAAAAATTGGAAAGAGTTAATAACAAATTGGAAATGAAAGAAATTCTCCGTTCGATAATGAAAATTTTTAAAAAAAAAAAAACATGAACTCAAAAGTCTGAAAAATTCAATTTTGTCCTATTTTATTTTATCGTCCCCCGAAAAACCTTAGTTAAATTTTTTTTATATGAATTTCATATCAAAAATAAGAAAATTCATTAGCTTCAAAGTGAAAAATTTAGAAGAAAATTTTTAATGTGCAAATGCAATTATCTCAAGTGCTTACCACCAAAGAAAATGAACGGCACTGTAGATTTTTCTAATCAGTTAAATTTGATTTTTTGATGAAATTTAATTGTGAAAAGAACTTAACGCCATTAATACGACAAAGCCGAAGAAACATCAATTTTTATTATATGAAGAAATTTTCTCACTGCCAAGACTTAAAGTTTAAATAATCGAGGATAACAAAAAAAAGTAATGATAATAGTAATTTAAAAATTTGTAGGTTTTAATAAAAATTATTCGGAATGAATTAATAAATTTACTCTGAAGAAGTTGGGTCGGTAGTGTAAGTGGGAGTAGTAATGATTTAGGGTCATGGTTTGTGACTTGATCTTTTAGAATACGGAATTTTCTAGTTGATTTGAGCATCAATTCATGACTCAACATTTGGGTATACCTCAATACTAGGTTTGCGCTAGATATATTGCTGGTTTACATCAATTAACAGCGAGAGCGAACCTAAGGGAACCCACTAACACCTGCAGTACCCACCCAACTATCCAGAGAATAGCTACATTGTGAATTCAACTGAAAATCAATTGGTGCATAAAAATTGACTTATTAAGAATTTAAATTCGATGAATTTTTTTATTGCGGATTAAAAAATTTGAAAACTAAAACCCAACTTCGTGTACTATCTAAGTAGTATTAAAAGCAAATATTTGTGATGATTCCACGACCGAAGGCTGGAGCTTATCAATCAAAATTTTTACATCTCAAAAACTGTCTAGCATACTACACGGAATCGTCATTAAATTAAAATTCATAAGACAAAAATACACTCGACGCTCTACTCAATCCAAAATAAATATAAAAAAAACGATGAATTAAAAAAATTTATCAAAATTAAAAAAATGACCAGAAGTCAGCAACAGTTCTGACTGGAAATGAATCATTACGTGCAATAAGACGTCTCACCAGCCTCGCTACCCCTTGTTCTAAAAAACCTATGATAACAATTTTACTATTAGAAAATTTCAAGAGACTTAATTATGGAAAAAAGACTAAAAAATTAAAATTTAACTGACAAACGGAAATGGTTTTGAGACAATGGATGATTCATTTTAGTCAGAATCTGTTGCGCACGAATGAGACAAACAAGGATGAAAGAAGAATAACAAAAACTTTTAAGAAAGTTGAAGAATCATCAAAAATGTATAAATGGAGGTTGAAGTGTTGTTGGATGTCCGTTATGAAAATATTTGAATTATAAAACCTTACAAATGTTTGGAATTTGTAAGGTTTTCATTCAGAAATTTCAATATTCTCAAATACAAATTACAAATGTTTCTAAGATTTTGTAAGGTTCTCAATCAATAAACTGTGAAAACTCATCAAACAAGCCCGTCCACAGCACTTCAACCAACAAAAACCCTCAAGCAAAATTAAAGTTTAAGCAAAAAAATGATCTCCCATAAAGAAAATGAAATCTGCCAAGTAACGAAAAATACATTAAACCACATTAGTTGATTTATATACAGATTTTTAGAGAAGTAAATCAATTTGCATATATCCCCTTTCAATCCACTTCCAAAATAGTTTAAAATAAAAGAAAAAAAAACTTTTTGAGGATGAACAAAAAAAGAATTTTTTAATTTGAGACAAAAGTTACCAATAAAAGTTAAAAGTTTAGTAGAATGAGACATAAATCCCATGACATAGAAAAATATATATTTTCTTCAACAAAACTTAAAAGAAACCAAAATTAGAGGGGTTATGGGAGGATAAGATCATAAATTGAAGGTCCTACAGATCATTGTGACATTGTAGTAACACAAAGATGAATAATAAGGAACCAATATTGATGACTACACCTTCCATTAATCCCCACCACATGAGTCAGGACTTAAGCTAATAAAAAAAGGAAAGGAAATCTGGTTGTCACAAAAAAAAATCACACATAAGGAAATAAAAATCGAAATAAAAAGACTACAAGTTTTTGCCTATTTGTACAAATGTTAAAAATGAAAAAAAGAAAAAAAAAACAAGAATTAATTAATGGAAAATCGAAAATGATCATATATTAAATGTTAAGGATATAGACATCACAAACAAATAAGAAAAATAATAAAAAACAAGCTATTATAAATGATAACAAAGATTTTTTAAAGATCTCCATAAGATTACATGGAAAAAATAATTGAAAATTGGAAAAAAGTTTTTCCAAAAACAAAAAAATATGAGAAAAATATTGAAAATCTTATAAAAATCATTCTTTTTGATTGCGAAATAATTGTTAAGAAAAATGATTAAACTTTAACAATAATAAGAGATATATATTCACTATAGGTGTTGTAAAATTAAATAAGTGTTCGTAGAAGTATTTTTATTTTTCTTTAATTTTGAGTTTCTCTCCGTTTTTTTTTTTCAAACAACAAATCTTCAATTCAACGCTTTCAGAAAAATTCTTTTCCATGTACTATAGTTGTTAAAAAGTAATAACATTTTTGGGCATTTTGGTGCCAAAATCTTAATAAAAATCAATCACTTCTTCTATTATAAACAAATGTGAATTATAATAAAAAAGAGATAAAAATTATTTTTCTGAATACGTTTACTATTTTGCACTTTCAATAAGGAATGAATTAATTTATAGTGATTTACAGGGATGAATTTTGGTGAATTTTTGGCTGATTAGATTGGGTTTGGTATTAAGTTTGAGATTTTCAGGTTCAAACTTATGGTTTTTTTTCAAAATTTTTGAGCTTTTTCAACATTTTTTTGACATTTAACTGTCAATTTTAAAATTGTTTGAATTATTTGCAGATTCGTTTTTGACAAATTTACAATTTTTGGGATTTCAATATTATTTGAAGTTGAGTAATAAATTAAATCATATTCACATCAAGTTAAATTTGATTTAAAAAGTTTTTCAGTTTTGTCCTAGATTATAATAGATTTTTCAATCTAGTATAATCTTGAATTTTCAATCTAGACTTAGATTGCTCATTTGGTTCAATCCAGGACAGTTTTAAACAAAATCAAGTACAACAATTTTAGATTTTAGAATTGTAATAGATTATATCTTTGTTGTAGTTCAATGTTGATGGACTAGATTGTAATTTTTAAGTAACTAGATTTTTCTAGATCTTGTACTTTTATTTTCATTAAAAATTTTGTTTTTGGAATGTGAATTCTGACTAGATTTTGAACTTTTAAAGAACATTTTGTACTAGTTTTTTCCCATTCAGATTTTTAAGCTTTGCTGAACATTTTGTACAAGATTATTTAAAACAGCAAAGATTCACCAGCTTAAAATGTGATAAAATTATGTCAAAAAATCTCAAAGTCACCCAAATTTTCAATTTTGAATCAATATTTGAGATAATCTTATCCCAGTAAATCACTATACACCCACCTTCACTAAAACAAACAAATAAAAAAAATAAAAATTGGAGGGAAAAATTAAGAAATTAATAACAATAGTTGTTAAGAAAATGAAAAATTATAATAAAAAGTATTTTCTCAAAGAAAACTTTTTTTTCTTCATTAAATGATCGAGTTGTCTAGTTCTTTATTGCGATATAAAAAAAATGTACTTTTTCTTATTTCTGTTTTATGTTAATGTTGAAGAATTTGAATTTTTCCGTGGCTTTTTTTTTCTACGTTCATAAAAGAAAAAAATAGTCTGTTAATAATGCTCATTGATCTGTTACAAAACACACACATACACATAAATCAAAGTTTAATTAATAAAACAGAAAAGAAAAAATAAAAAATAATAAACTTGATATTAAAGTTAAGAAATCTTCAATTTCTTTTTAATAATCATGCCATTGAAAGCAAAGAAAAATACAAAAAAATTACAAATTTGATGAAAAAAAATGAGAAATAAGTTTTTTTTTTCTAATAGTTAAGGGCTTAAAAATTTTCAATATAAGAAAAATAAAACAAAAAAAAAAACATAATAATTTTTTTTTAGAATTATCGAGCTATAAAATAAGGAAGTTAAGGAATGAATATATAAAAAGTTAAGGAATCCGATTTTTGATGTTTTAGGTGTGTCCACAAACTAATAACAAATCTACTGCAAAGCAAAAACGGTCGAAATTTTTCGCTTTTAAAAATGTGTTAAACATAAAAAAAAAATATTAAAATCCAAAAATAAATCAAATGCAATATGATTAATAAATATTTTTTTTTGTTGTGGATACGTTTTTAGTTTCTATAGTTTCATGCAAAAAACTTAATCCTTGACATTCAGAATGGCAAAAAATATTTAGACACAAAAAATGATGGTCTCAGCAGCCTGAAGGTTGTTACATTCATTAGATACACAAATTGGAATTGTATGAGGTCTATGCGGTGCTGAATATGGTACCAAATAGCAATGATGTGGTTCATACAAGGGCAGATTCGAGGTTGCAAGCTATTGTAGAATAGTTATGGCATTGTAGGACTCTTATTGTGTCATCGAAGTGCTTGAATCTGTTGGTAGGCGAGAATAGCTTAACTATAAACCAAGAAATCAACCTCATCCAAGCCACAAGAATGTCAAGCAGCAATAAAAAATGTAATGAAGAAAATTTTAAAATCAAAAATCAAAAAAAAAACTTCGAAATAGTCAAATTGATTTGCAAATTTTAAAATTTTCTTTCAAACATCATCCGATTCTAGTTCCATAAGATCTTCAAAAATGTGAATGATAAGGATAAGAAAAAAAGAGATAATAATCAAATATAAACTATATTTTTATTTTTTATCAAAACTTAGGTTAATTGTACCAATTTTCCTGTATAAAAGAATTGCTATTATTATTTTTCAATTAAATTATATTTCAAGGCATTTTTAATTTACGTGAAAATATTCGATGATTTTTTGTTTTTGATGCTGTAAATCTGAATGTTCCTGGTGGATCATGACCACGTCAGATGTGCAGGATCAAAACTCCAAATTTCATCTCTGTTCATATCCATATAAACAAAAAGTTACCATTTAAAAGAAGGTTTTGGGAAGTCAAATTTCAAAATTTAGCAGAATTTATCAGTTTGGCAATAAAGTTTAAAATAAAAGTAAAGGATTGTCCCATCTCCATAAAAAAAAACAATATACATAAAAAATATTTTAATTATAGTTAAATGAAAAACCGATAAAAGCTTATATATAAATATTATTATTATTACAATATTATTCTGATCTTAGTTTTGAATTATTTGCTTTATTATTATGGAAAATATATACATATTATATACAATTATATTTTTTTTTTTCATAGACTTAAGTTTACAATATTAATTTTTAAGTTCTCTGTAAATTTTTGCAAATTGTCCATATCACACATGTACTAAGCATCAGATTAAAAAAAATAAATTAATAATCTGTAAATTTCACAATTTATGATTTTTTTAAAAAAAGTTTTATTTTTAAATAGAAAAAAAATATTTTGATGCAAAAAAAAAAAATAAACGAAGAATATAAAGAGATGAATTATAGAAGGTCTTATTATAATTTTTAATGAAAAAGAATGTGTACACAGTAAAGCTCATATATTTCTTTAAAGATAAAAAAAACTCTGTTTTGACTTTATTTCTACAATTTTATTAATCTTTCAGGATATTTACAGCATATCTAATATCATCTAAATCTGAAATCATAACATTTTTATTCAGTCAGTTATGAAGCTTAATATTCTCAATATTGGTACATTTCTAAGTTGCCTGAGTAAAAATTCTAATTCCGTGCATTTGTGCTACTTGCTCTTTAAGGATTTTGTTTACCATTTGATGCTGCTTGACTAATGACATTCCTTTGAATTCTGGTGACTTGATGTTTACTTCAAACATTGCTCCACATCCGCCAGAGACGTCAAAAACTCGAACTTCACCCTGAAAAGGAAAGGAAGTGATTAGTAACGAGTCATTTTGATGATTAAGGCTTAAATTGGCTATTTTTGAAACGAATACCTAAAACTACTATAGTTAAGTCTATAGTTTTTTAATTTCATTTACTTTAAAACTCAATTTTTTGTATTATCAAGTACAGAACTAGCTCTTTGTTAAACAGGGATCATTACACGAACAAAAAATGATGTTTTAAGGTTTTAGAATGAGTGGACTGTATTTCAATGACTATTTTGAACAGTGGTACAATTGCAACTAAAATCAAACTAATTTTACAATATTTTCAAAATATCTGCGATCATTTCTTTCTTAATAATAAAATGTTGATTCACCATGCGACAAACTGCCACCTCGACTTATGATGAATAACAAAGACTTCACATCTTGATGATGATTCGTTGATAGTTTTGATAACAAATATCTTGAAAGACAATTCGTTGGAGTGTAGTCCCTAACAGATTAGTTCTGTCCTGTTAGAACTTGAAGTTAAATGCAAATAGAATAATTCTGTTCTATTGCATTTAGTTTGAGTGTCTAATAGAATAATTCTGTTCTATTAGATGGAGCTAGATGTTAATAATCTGAAGCCAATGACGTAGAAGCTACCAGAATGATTCTGTCCTGATAGATTTTGAGATATACTAATAGAATGATTCTGTTCTATCAGTACTTGAATATTGAAGATGCTAGCAAAATGATTCTGTTTTGCTAGATCTTGCAGGATGCTCTGACAAATTATAAAACCGTAATTGTGATCATAACAAAATAGTTCTGTTTTGCTAGATCTTACTAATAGAATAATTCTGTTCTATTAGTGCCTATTGAGAATCTGCAGAATAATTCTGTTCTGCCAGATATGATTTGGAAGAGATGAGTTTGATTGCAAAACTTGAATGGTCGTCCAAGTATTGCTAGAGATGAGATGAGATAAAATTAACTTGAATGTTGATCCAAGCTTGTTAAGACGACTTGAGCATGATAAAACTTGATTTCTTAATTCATACTCTCAATACTATGAGAGAGTTCTGCCCTCTCGACAAAAATTCATGTTTGAGTTGCTTCTTGCGAATTTAATAAAGAATTTGAGTTGTTGCTATGCAAGCTTGTATGATGATTCTCTTCACAAACTTTACACCTTGAATTACTATTGCAATCTTGCTTGCTGTGTCCAGGTCTAAGACAGATCATACACAATTTGTATTTTGAAGCTATTTTGAGTCTTCCTTCTTGATTTTCTTTTCTGAATATTTCGCACTGATAGACTCGATGACTACTAGAGCACAATTTGCATTTTTCAATTTGCACATTCTTGTTTACTTCGAGTGATGTCTTACTTGACTGTGATGTGATACTTTCATCAGATAACGATTTGAACAATCCAAAAGAATTCCCTTCTCGATAAGTGAATGCCAATGATTTTATACGTTGATCCATGAATTTACAGAAAGCAGTCCAACTTGGCTTGGACTATGTCAATATGGATATCCCATTCTCTCATGAGATTTTTATCAAAACGATTCCTGACAAATTGTTCAAAAATCATGTCAAATAATTCTTCTGGTGTAACTTTCATCAAATTGAATGCTGCACGATGACTGATGTAAGTATCTAGGACTCTCCTTGGTTCTGATAAGGAACCATCAATAGGACCACTAATTGTCATAAGAGAATTTGTGTATTGCATCAACAAAACTCTTCGATCGTCAAATCTTCGACATAACGCTTCCCAGGCAGATTTGTAATTGTCTCCTGAGAATTGATAGTTGTTCAATATATTTTGAGATTCTGGCTGAATGTTCACTGATGACTTCAAGTAATGGAATTTGTGAATGTCTGAATACATTGGGTTTGAATGTATCAAGGAGATATAAGTATCTTTAAAAGATATCCAATTGCTAAATTCTCCAATGAATTCTGGAAGTTTTATTTCAGGAAGTTTCACTCTTCTTGTTGATGATGTCGATGGTTGAATTGCGTTTACTTTGACTTCTAAACGTCTCTCTTGCTCTTTCTTCAGAGTTTCTATCTTTACTGCTAACTCAAATGTTGTAATAACTGCAAGTTTCTTGAACAAAGTTAACTTCTGAGTTTCAACATCATTTTCTCGTTTTCGATGTAACAGTTCAAATTCAATGAACACTTAGTTGAATTCATCTAACATGTCTTTGAACACATCATGATACACTTTTGCTTCTTCAAAATTTGTTTCTTCCTTTAACATGTCATAAGTGCTTTTTATGCTTTCAAAATCTTCGATTATTGAATTCAGCTTTGCTTTCTTTCCTTCATATGTAGTCATTATTGCTTATTCTTGTTGAACTTTGCTTCAACAAATCTGCCAGCTTCAATTTGAACTTTCTTCAAAATTCTTCTTCAAATTTTCCAATTTCTTTCAATATTCAACTTCTAAGTCTACTCCACGTCTTGTTTCACTGTTTCAATCTCAAGGTTCGAAGGACCAATAAAAAATGATGATTCAAGGTTTTAGAATGAGTGGACTGTATTTCAATGACTATTTTGAACAGTGGTACAATTGCAACTAAAATCAAACTAATTTTACAATATTTTCAAAAATATCTGCGATCATTTCTCAAGGGTCAGACACTCAAAAGTATTGTACGGCATTGTACAATACTTACAATACTTGCCATATAAGTATTGTAAGTATTGTAAGAATTGTACAATACTCACAATACTTCTCATATAAATTTACAATACTTTACAATACTTACAATACTGAAATTTAACTATTCAGGAAGTAAAGTTTTAAAGAAATTAAGTATTTTTTTGTGTTTTGAGCATTTTTTGTATACAAATAACATGGTTTTTGATAAATATTGAAAGTGAAATAAATTTTATTTTTAAATTTACGCTATTTATTGGAAATTAGCATTAAAAGTTTAGAATTTTCTGGTAAAATTAGTGTAGATTTTAATTTTTTTGCCTTATTTTTTAAAATTGGCTAATAAAGTTCACATTTTTCATGCAGTACACAAATGAAATGTTTAAATGGAAACATTAATTTGAAGATTTAAATTCTTATTAAAGGTAAACATTGAATTTGTTTTTTAAATTGACTTAGTTGCAACTAATTCTATGTTCAAAATATGGTTTGAAGCTTGATCAAGCTTAAATCATTATGATTTAGTGGTTTGGAGGCAGTTTAGGCAATCACGAAACTTAATTTTCATCAGGTACGAACAGAAACGGTCAGTTCCGCAAAAATTTTTTGACTTCAAGAGGTGATTGCTTGATAAAAAAGCAACAAAAAATCGTTTTGTGGATGTAAAGGAACCAGGCAGTTCAAGTGCCTATTCTTGCTTATGACTCATTAAACTAACGTAGATTACTTCGGTACTGTAATAAAAGACATTTAAGTTTTTAAAAGCATTGAAAGCAGGTAGTTCCACATATGCAGTAAGATCCAGACATGCTTGATGAAGTCCAGATATTTATATGCAAGCAGCAAGGCACAGAAGATTAAAAATCACGAATTGGATTTCGTTTAAGTCAAACAGCATGGAACCATTGCTTGCTGTAACCTTTATTTAAGAAATGTTTCGTTTCTAAAAGATCCAGTTGCAAGATTCTGGCCGAAAAAGGATCTACTGCATTCTTACTTATGAGGAACTGCAACTGAAAACTGTTGATTTGAAAAATAATTTGAGAAATTGCATACAAAAATTTCATATGGAGGGATTTTAAAATCCCAATAAAAATCTTTCATATAAGAGATTTAAATCAAAATCCCAAAGAAAAATCCTTTTGAAAAAATGATTCAAATCAAAATCCCACAAAAAATCCCCATGCAAAATGAATTTAAATCAAAATCGAGAAAAAAATCACTTGGGTAAAATGTTTTAAATCAAAATCCCTTTTTAAAATCATTTTTCATTGAGATTTAAATCAAAATCAAAAATAAATTCAGAGATTTTGATTTAAATCGCAAAAAATCTACCCACCCTGATTATAGTTTCTTGATTTTTGTCTTGGCAATAACAATAAGAGTCTTAATCATCAAGATTTCATGTTCTATTTTCCCTTTTCCGTTTTCATAGTTCATTTAAAAATTAAAAAATGTTTTAAAATAATTCAAGGTTGTTAAAATATATATCCAACATATTTCACATGTGCTCTTACGAAAATGTGTGGATATGTGTGGATATCCACACATTTTCACACATTTCCGCACATATCTCATGTGTGCACATATTTTCAAAACACACCAGATTCTGTTTTTATCCACCCAGGTTGATTTTTATAAATATTGACTTTTTTTTGTAGACTATAAACAATTCTAAGTAAAACTTGAAAACATATAATAAAATAATTAGTAATTTTGTATTTTAAACAGTCAAAAAATGGAAAAAAGCAAGAAAAACTTAAAAATCTTTAGTTAAAATCAAATTTATATTCTTTTAGAAATCTCAAAGTGTCCTGTAAAAATTACAATACTTACAATACTTGCCATACAAGTATTGTAAGTATTGAAGGTATTGTACAATACTTTTGGAGTGTCTGACCCTTGTCATTTCTTTCTTAATAATAAAATGTTGATTCACCATGCAACAAGTCAAATATAATCTAATTAGCTTAGCTTGCAACAAAATTTCCATCTGATTCAATCAAAATAAATGTTTGAGTCCAATAATATCTAGACCAATGATCTGTGTCAACAACATTACTCTTTAGTTTCAGAATATTAGACAAAGGATTATAAACATAAAATCATTCTCAATTAAGTAGGATGATAAAACAAGTTTTAAGCAAGTGGGAAGCTATTGTCAAGCTTAAAGTCTTCAGAAATGAAGGACAGCTCTTAAGGCCGCTAACACAGATGCAAATTCTTTTAAAAAATCAGCTTGTAAAAAATTATGACCATAAAATGCTACACAGCTTATGCTAAAGACTGGCTTACATCAAACCTTGTAACAAACTGATTGTTGAAGGTCATGTTGGCTTGTGACACTTGTTATTAAAGACTTATAAAGAAGTAAAAGATTTCAAAAATCATATGATCAATCTGCTGGTTGAGAATGATCTGGACGAAAAATAAGCTTGATATGAAAGTTATAATTTCGCTAACACAAATTCTTTAAGGCATTTCGATGCTTAAATGAAGAATAATTGCTAACCTTAGTAACCAAAATTGTTAAAGATTTAGTGGAATTACCGATTATTGTTGCTTAAAATTTACTATTAAACCTCTTATTGTTCATACTCAAGGAAAATCAAATTTCAGAAGTTATTAAATCTTATCAAAATGAAACCAAAATTCCTCAAAACTTTTAGAATTTACGTACAACTTTATTATTGAAGCCAATTGTCAAATCCCATATCTTAATAGGAATTTATTTTGAAGAAAGCCTGTCATATCCAAACATAAATAAATTGAAAACTAGTAGAGCTTTCGTGAAAATAATTGCAATCTACGCATGAACTTTATGTTCATGCATCACATTATGTTCGAGAATGATCTAAATGATTTTAAAATCGTAATAAAGCATGTCTAGTACCGAGACCCGAATGTACATGTCCTTGACATTATTAATAAGAAGATAATAATGCAATAATAAATCATAAATCTTCCAAAATTTCATAACTCATCATGATCAATCATGTATCTTTGAAAATCATAAAGCCTCTCAGGTAGATAAATTATAGCTACATACCTTAAAATGCTTCTCTAAAACTGCAGTCAAATTATGTTCACTGACTTTTCCGTTACTACAAAAATTCAAACGAGATTGCTAGAATATAAAAATGAATCGCAGTCAACTTCATGTTATTTTGGAATTTCGAGAATTTGAAAGAAATTGAATCTTACCGTTCTAGTACTGCTTCTAAGGAACTGCCGGAGAGTTAATGACACTAAATTTGGTAAGTTCATAGCTATTTCTAAGATTTTCGTACGAATAATCCCTGAATAAGCCTAGAATTTAATTAAAGAAACTTTTAAAATAAGAATCACAATTTCCGAAACTTTCGACGATTCGGATTATCCGAAAAAAATTATACGATTTCGTATAACAACCGTAGATGCATACCACTCGTCAATCACTTCATCGAGAAACTTCCAACAGACAAGTCGCAAAAAATACAGTCGTCCTCGTGAAATATAATTATTAATTAAACTTTGTTGTGTTGAAGTCTTTAAAAAGTTTAAGTGTACTGTCCTGCAAGCGAAGTTTCTTAATTAAGGTGTGTTTAATACTGAAAAAAGTTGAAAAAATTAATTACGACGCAGTAGAAGTTAAAGAAAAAGAAAGCCTTGAGAAAAAAAAAAATAGAAAATGGTTGCTACGTCTTTGAGTTGCAACGGAAATAAAATAATTCAGACAGAGGCTTTAAATGAGTGGATAAGAAATTTAAAATCAAAGAAACAATTTAAGAAAAAGATCTCACGAGGCCAGGACCTCTTTGCCATAGCCATTTTACAAAACTCATTATATAAAAATCAGAAAATGCTACAGCAAAGACAAAGAGAGAGATCTGAAAAATGGCTTAAAATGAAGAAAATGCTTGAAGAAAGCACTAAAAATTGTGATAATTCAGAGTACATGGCCTCAGTGGATGATAAAGACTACCATCTTGAGAGTATAGAACGTGAAGAGAGACAGATGCAAATTAAAAAAATCTGGGAAGAAGATTTAAGTGATATTGAGAGCTTTATGAATAGTTTAGACACAGTTAAGACAACGCTAGTTAGATAAATTATGATAAATCAGAGAAATTATAGCTCAAATTTGTACAGTAAATCTTTTAGAAAGTTCAAGAAGAAAACAAAAAGAAAAAAATTCAAAATGGCAGACATGAAAAATTGCAGTTGAACGTTTTAAAACGTAGATATCTATATGCCCCTCTCCATTTCAACAGAAAATGTGTTACACTCAGTCACGTACAAACACGTTTTTGTAGAGGAAAGAAAAATACGAGTTATGACGTCACGGAAATTTCCAACGAATGATTTCATAAGCACATAAATAGTTTCAGTGTTATATTTTTTTCTCTACCTGCACAGTCTGTCAGTTTTTTTTCATTGAATTTCATAAGTTTAATGAATAGGAAGGCAAAATATAAAATACAAAAAAATAATAGATAATGAGGGAGCATTCATGAATGACGTCTTAAAATTAGAGAGGTAAGGGTTTAGAGTGGACCTAGTGTCAAGATGAGGTTTAGACGATATCTAGGGTCTTCCAGGGTGAGTTATAGATAGTACCTAATATCTAAACTAGGTAAATCGTAGGTCGCATCTAGTACTTTTTCTAGGTGAGATATAGGTTGACCTAGTTGACTTATATACCCCAGACCTTCAAAAACAAAGTTTTAGCAACAAAGAGAGAGTTCGTTCCGGGGTCTAAGTGATAGACGTCATTTATGAATGGCCCCCCAGAAAAGCATACAAAAAAGTTTATAATTTAAAAAATTATAATAATCACAAATAATCTTAAAAAATGTTGTAAATGATTAATTTTGTGACTTAATTAATATTACGCAGACATTTTTATTTACAGTATGCCATCTGTTGACTGAACAAAGCATCGAGCTTTACCACTGAAACGATTGCTTTTTTGTGGTATTGTATTTTTTAAACATTTAATTTTTTAAAAATTAAAATCTCTAAACTGACTTTCCAAAAACAAAAAAAACAAAAACCTACAAAATGATATAAGTTTAAGAGTCGTTGCCTATAAAATTTATTAGAGTAATTTTAGGTAGAATTTGACAAATTATAATGTAAATAAATTAAGTGAACATGATTGTAATTTTTTTAAACCATAAACTCGAAGAATTTTTTCCTTAATCTTTCTCTTTCTTGCAGTTACATTAACCTTGTGCAAAACAGGGATCGATAATGTCCAAACACAACGGTCTCTCCCCCTTTCTAACGGGAGCGGAGGAGCTTATTATCAAAAAATTATGAAGATTGCGAGGTTGACTCAGCCTACGGCGTGTTCAAATGAATTTCAAGACTAAATCACGGCAAGCAAAAACTTGTGTTTTGAGGCTAATGATCTACTTTCAGTATTAGGGCATATAATACACAAATTTCCCAACCTGGTCAGGGGGTGTAAAATGAGTGACTCACAGAGTTTTGAATGGATTGAATGATGATCAACATCAACATACACAAATGACAAAAAAGAATAGAATGATGATTCTGAAAATATTGGATATATAGGATGGTCCTTGGGGGTCTTTTCCTTCTTCTTATTTTTTTCTTCATTTTCTTCATTTCTTCACAATAGATTAGAATGAATTATCTCGTCGGTAATGCTGGATTAGGATAAAAATGAATAATAACAAATGACTGATAATATGAGAAATAAGTTTGAATTATGATGATTAAAATAGCATCATCATTCGGTAAATAGCTATATTATTCCAAAATGGTGGACATTCTTTTCCTTTTTTTAGTTTTCCGAACATCTTAAGATTCACCACAAGTCAGACAATAAGATATAGGACGAATAAGCAGTGACTAATTGTGCCAAGAGCCTTATTTCTGTTATCAAGAAAAACCCGAAAAGAAAATTCTTTCGTGGTAAATTTTTTCCGTTATTTTTTGAGATAAGCGATTCTTTCTTTTATTCTAGTTTACGTTATATGACATATTAATCAACCGAGTATCTGCAAAGACACACATATACACGTCCTGCCAAGAGTGCGGTATCGTAGTGAAACATTATTTTCCCTTTAATCTTGCCATTTCTATATATTTCACAGTTGCATAGCTTAGTTATATGCTATAGAGAACTAGTTCCTCCGAGTACTTTGCGGCTACTTTTGTAAGACACACGATATTTTCCCTAAAACTTTCCATTTGAATATTTTACAGTAATTACGACGGAGTGATCAGAGACAGAGCGTTACGAGGAACATAATCTTTACATTTATTTCCTTCTTTTTTCCATTTTCTTTTGTATTTTTTACAGTACAAAAATTTTTTAAAAAAAACCTTGTAAAACTTTTCAATAAGATAGCTATAGTTGAACTACGGCAAGCGCATCCGATTCTGGTATTGTAAGCACAAAATTATTTCCATTTAACTTTTTCCATTCTGTATTTCCACAGTCGATTGGAGAGAGCAATGAAAAAATTTGTAGAAAAAAATTGTAAAAAAAGTAAAACTTGTGAATTGTGTCAGAAAAAAAATTATAGAGCAGCCGAGAAAGCCTGCAAATGAGCGATATTGTAAGCACAAAAAACATTATTTCCAATAACTTTCCACTTTTTGTATTTTTCACAGTCAAAAGAAAAAAAAATTGAGAAATTTTGTAATGAAAATTATGTCAAAAGATAGTTCAGGAAGCGACCGTGTCCATCACAAATGATAAAGAAAAAAATGGCAAATTTGTAAGAAACAATTTCAATTCCTTAAACAATTTCCGTTTATTGTATATTCGCAGTATTTATTATAAAAAGAATTAAGAATCAAGGACACGAGATAGGGCTGCAAATCGGATTTTTGTAAGAACAAAATCTATTTTCAATTTAACATTTCCACCTTCTTTTTTGTATATTTTTGCAGTGCAGTATTTAGAAAAATGACTGTAAAATTGAATTTTATACTTTTTTATATCAAAATGTTATGTAAATGACGCTATAGGCAGGGATATATATTGTTTTTTCGAAAAATCTCTTATTCCAATGAATTGTATTGAAAAAAAAAATAGAAAATAAGTTCTATGTATGAAAAAAATAGTTGAGAATGACCCAGATGCACTGATGATGACGTTAGTTCCGAACAACTTTATGCAGAGCATTACCCTACTTCTTCTCCAAAGTTCCATTGTATGTCTTCACCAAAAAATAATAGGATTGAATTATAATTGGAAATGAGTTTCTGTTGACCCAAAGCTAACGAGAATGTGAGCAAGTTATTCGGTTTCTGTGGGGGTTGCTGTACCTTTGTATCTTTCATCTACACAAGCCTGGTAACAAAATATTGTTTTTGTGGACAAAAAAAAGTTTTCTTGGATGATTCCAGAATATAGGAAAAAAAAGTCTTCCGTACAATTCAGCGACTTCATGCATTCATTAACATCCCCAAAAAGCTTATCATAAAATTAATGGCGCATCAGATAATAATTTTCCATAATCATGTGTGGGCGCAAGCAGAGAACATAACTCGGTATTTACACATACAATTTCAAATTGATCCAAACAATGTCTTATTTTGATAGTATGAGATGCGATTGAGAACGAGAAAGAAAAAGGATTTAATCAATAACTGAGCACACAGAGAGAAATGAGTCAATGAGATCTGCTCTCTATTGCTGAACTAGCCACTATGTCAAGAAAATGGGTAAATCGTATTAGAAAAAAAATGACAAGCAAGCGTTTTCTTTCATTCGTAGACAAATTTAAAAGCGAATCTGGAGTTCAATGTCCCATAAATAACCATCAACATAAGAATACTTCTGGATAGTCTTCAATTTTTCATAATCAGACGCAAAAAGATGCAAAGCGATAAGATAGCTATCGGGTTTATTAACTGCTGACCTACATCCAACCCTTTTTCCATACATAAATATTTTTATCGACTGAGTCGACATTATCAAGTGATATGAACATTCCACAATCATCTATCGAGTCGAGACTTTAATAATGGATATAAAAATGAGCGTTTTAAATGAGTCATGAGATGACAAGTGAGACCAATTTAAGTTAAGAGACAATTTGAGATCTATGGTCAGTAATCGGTATAAAGAAAAAGTCAAATTAATCAACGGTGATCAAAATAGGGCAAGAGCTAGTGCGTATTATCTACAAAAGAATCCAGAAGCTAATTCATAAAATCGTTAAGAGTTTAAAAGTATCAATTACGGAAGCGAGTTTGCGCCAATCATTAAAAAATCTAATTTTCATCTTTACCACACATTTTTCATCGGGTTATGATCCTGGGGAGTTTGAGGATATTGCAAGCGATTGACACATTTCATCTATAGATATGACCAAAAAATCAATGACAAATTAGATACGAACGTCATCAAAAAAAGTATAATTTCAAAATATATGGACACAAGTCTAGTCTGAGATATTCTTATGGGGAGCATTTATGCATTTACATCCAGTTAAAACCATTCTACCCAACTACATAGGCTTTTCTCGAATTTTGTGAATGAATTGAGTGAGTGTTTTTAAGTTTAGTCGTTATCGTTCTATGAATTCAGCCAATTTCTTGCGGTCGGCAAGAAATGAGAATAGAATTCCATCGCAAATTGTAGGACTTGGCTAATTCTATACGGACTGTATGGAATGTGAAGAGAGTTCTGCAATTTGGTGTGGACAGCGTGGATTATTACACTTGTCAAATTTGAATTGCTCGGCTGGGTAATTCAGATGGGAAAGGAGTGTGATAATCACATCGGGGAGCGGTGGCATAGGCTGTGGACTGGACCTTGGATCTTGGGGACTGGAGAGGACATCACGCAGGCAAGTAGAGGTGGGACCTCTGCGAGAAAATGCATTTTATGCGGCAGGTTTCAGCAAAAAGTGTCTGGCAAGTCTGTGCATTGGAGCACAGGCAGGAATAGGATACTTTGTAAGTTGATTAGGCTTCCTTTGGTTGTCAGTTGTTTTCAATTCAAATTTGGACTTCATCAAGTTATTTTCAAGCATTCTTAATGTCAATGTCATCTTCCATGATGTCTTCATGAGTCTTACGTTTAAATTCTACAAATTTCTGATTATTTTATTGGATATACCTACTTATTGTAAATGATAAAACTTATCTATAAGATCAAATGTATTGGATACTACTTTTCAAAGAAAGAAACTTTTCGATTATTTGGAAAGGAAGCCTCGCAAGTTTAAATCTTCATAAGAGACGACAAACACACAAAAATATATTCAAAGGTTCGCATAGTGGGATGAGGGGGCTGAGCAACTAACAATCTGCTACAGCAATGGGCTAACGTCTCTTAAATACAAGTTTCAAAACCTTTTTAAAAACACACATGCTGAGTTCAACGCAATCTTTTTATCGAGTGACCGAAATAAAATTGGACAAAAGTGATTCTTTATGATTTGAAAAAATGAAATTTGAGGTCTTTTGGATATGCTTAGATTGATTTTTGAGTTACAGGAAGTTTTTTCAGGTTTTTAAAGTTTGAATAATGAAGTTGATTGCCTTGATTGGTGTGGCCTTTATGTAGATCAAGCAGTTAAGTGCCTTGCTGGTCGAATAGGTAAGGCGCTTGGCTCAAATTTTGGATGGTAACTCGAAGGTCGTCGGTTCGAATCCAGCCATTTCCAAATTTGTTCTTTTTCGGAAGTTTAGATACTTCGACTGCTTAATGTACGAGATCAAGCCATAATTTGGCATTTGGGCATCGTTGGATTAAGGAACGGGTCAGGAACTTGAAGTGTAGCGGGAGAAATAAGAACGAGATCAACAAGATTACTCACGAATGTAATATTGTTAAAACGGACCTGAAAAGTATCACGTCACGCCTACAGAAGATTGAAACAAGAGCCTTGGTTTATTTGAAACCTAGATTTGAAGATTAGAAGTTTGATCCTACATAATATTAATTCATATGTATACAAATACAAAAGTGTAAAATGTGAATTATTACCGGATAGTATTTTGTCAATAAATGCAATAAAGTGCAATTAAAATGAAATAAAAAATCATTATCTCAGATTCCGAAGATGATTGAACTCATAATATGCCAATTCAGCTTGTATAAACGACGAATTATCGATAGCATGAAAGATGTTGATTGCTGAAGACAGAAAAATTACAAAGTAGCAATAATTCTACTATTTCAATCATTGTTACCACATTTCAAAACCCAGAAGTCTAGATAAGCAGCACAAAGCTTTTCAAGACATGCACATGCCAAGCAAAACACAGTTACTTTGTTAAAAACTGTACCATATTCATTTTTTTTATTGAAAGTCAAAAACATTGAAAAATTGATACTTTCTCGTATTTTATAAAATACTTAACAAACTTAATATTTCGACAAGTGTATCCATCAAAAATTATTTTCCTTGAACCATCATCAATCGAACACACTTGAATTGTAATTTATTATAATTGCTGAAAAAAAGGAACGAACTCATTTTGGAAACAAATTGTTTTTTATCTTTAATTCATCATCATACAGTAATTATTTTTTTTCAGTCATTAAATTCGTTTTTGAGAAACATTTTCATTTTAAAAATAATTTTTTAATCACTTGAATTTTCATTTTTCTTCTCATTTTGCGTATCTTCAGCCTTCTCGCTGCTCGTTTTGTCAACCATTTCATGACTCACTTCTGAGGACGTAATAATTTCATTTGAGCTTTCAGCAGAACTTGATTCTGGTTTTGCTGCTGCTGCTGCATTTGTTGATATTGAGTCGTCAACATCAAAGCACTCGAATATGATTTCTATGTGACTTTCTATGTCACGGATGAGATCATTCCGGGATGAAAATGTTGGCGATGACGATGTGGAGCATTGTTGGTGATCTTTTGATTCTTCATCACTTTGATTCTTTTTTGAACTGGCACCATTATCAATTTTGACGTCTGGCTCGATGCTGTTGCTGCATTTCGGTGTCTCACTATCACTAGATTGTTGGATGTCGAGTTTTGGCTTTTTGGGTGGAGATTCTTCGGCTACATATTAAATTAAATAAATTAATGGAACAAAATCATATTTGATGACTAATAATTTACCTTCAGTTGATGCGACATCTTTGCACTTTTGCAGGACAAGCTGCAAATTTTGCTTCAAGTTGTTCTTCGATGCCTGTGGAAAGCCACTTGTCTGTCCAATTATTCTAATAGCATGTAAATCTCCACACAATTCTTCCCAATCTTTCTTTACTAAACTACCACAAATGTTATCCAGTAACTTTGTTATTGACATTCTAGTCCGAACCTGGAAGTAAGCCACACAATTAGTATTAAGGCATTTTTGAAGGATGTCAAGCAATTTACCTTAGCATAAAATATTTCCACAAAGTTTGCAATCATCGAGTCATTCAATGAAATCCTTTCGTCTTTCAAGATCCTATCGATGTACTCGTGAATTAAACTGTTGTTTAGTAGCATGTCAACATACCTAAAAGACATAAAAGTTTGTTAATTATTCAATAGAATATTAAGGAACAGCTCAACTCACTTTTGCATATTTTTGTTCTTAGCCAGTCCGACCCAGAATGAGGGAAAGAATGTAAAATGCCATCCAACAGCCTCAATAGCTGACTGTAGACTCAAATTAGTAAGAGTATCATTGAATGCATTGCAAGAGATAGCAGCTCTAAAGAATACATCCAAGAACTCATGATAAGGTTTATAAAAGTTTTCAACAGCCATGTCAAATTCCTTATCAATTCCTTTAGAATGTGAAAATGATGATTGAATAGCACGAGGTATGTTCATTTGCATTAATGGACGCGGTGGTCTTTGGATATTTTTTGATGACCATGATAATGAGCTGTTGTTTGATGTTCCTGCATTCTTGGAACTACGACGTGGCAAATAAGCGCCAATTAGACCGGAATGTTGTTGCTGATTTTGTGTATGACAATGAACAAGGATGGGCGTTAAAATATTAATGACTTCATTAGGAACGCTCTTGACTAATTCCTTCAATATATCCAATGTAAGTTTTCTCATGTCTGAAGGATTAAATGTATTTAATAATGATGTGAGTCGTCGAACAACGTCAGCTAGTCCTTTAAAATATCCAGCTTGAGGATGTCGCTTCTTTTGATCACGACAATTATGACGTAGTGCTTGAATTAAACGAACAATTTCTCTTAATAAATCTTGTAAATCTTCTATCACATTACACGCAGTTGCTTCATGATACATCGAATGAAGTGTAAGAAAAGCCTCAAAACATATAAACAGTCCACCATTACTGACAAAGAATACACGATCATCATCGTTCTCAATGAGAATCTTTAATGCTGATATGAGCGTATTCCATGAAACACGAGCATCTAAACTGCCCAAATATGCTGACAAAGTGTGTCGTCTAAATATCGAAATTTGATCAAGCTCCGTTTGTGTCGAGTCTGGATGTTTTGCAACAAACAATTGCATCAATTTAAATAACTCGTCAACAGCTAATGGATACTGTGTTGGATATGGAGTAATGTTCTTAAAAGCCCATTGCAAATTTTGATGACCAGCGAGTTGACGCGTCAACGTTCTTGATTGTTCACAGCACAAACGAAGTAATCCATAGTAAGCTGGCAGCATACATCGATTGTATTGGACTACTTCCGAATCATCATGATCCGCTCTACAAAAACAATTTTAAAGATTTATTAGCGAATTTTATAAATTTAAATTATTAACGGTTTTCAAAAATTTGAAATTGTCATTAAAATTCAAAATTTTGAAAACTGTTAAATTTTAAATCTGAAAAGATCGTTACTTACAGTATGTAATTAAATGCAATGTTCTTGGTAATTTCGACATTATTCGCAACGATTTGAGCATTTTCTGGACAATCGACAGTTGCATGATACCAAAATGCTAGTAGAGCTTGTTTATTGTGATGTGTTGGAACGCTCGGCTCCGATAATTTCGGATGAAACAGTTCCCATAATGTCTTAATGTGTGGACCTAACATCAATTTTTCCGTCTTTGATATCATACAATAAGTCATTAAACTAAAGTATGACGTTAATTTTACTGTTCCATGTGTGCTTATATCTGTATAATTCTTTGCTGAACGTAATAATTTAAGGAGAATATTTAATATACTATGTAATATTGTTTGTGCTTCACCCGACGATATTTCTCTTAATGGATTATGTATAACTATTTTGTGATGAGATGTTGCTCTAAAGTTTTGACGGAACGATTGGACTGGCACGAGTGAAACCAGCAGATTTGCAGCAGCTAAAATTAATTACATGATTATCAATTACTCAAATAACTTTATTGGATGCAAAACTCACCATTCCGAACACGCAAATTGGCACTGGCAATGAGGAAGTTTTCAACCCAACTTTCAGCTGTTGAAAGAACCCATGCATGAGCGATTTTATTGCGTGGTGCCTGCATCGATAGCCATTCTAATGCTGGCTGTGGACAGAATTCAGCTGCATCCCAAACTCGTTGCAGAACCAACTGTGAGAAGCAGGGCAATCCAGAAGGTCCTGAAGATGATTCCGTTAACAATGTGAGGAGCTTGAAGAATGGACTACAGAGCTGCAAGTAGACTTTAGCTATTAAAATCTTTAGCTTTAGACCATTCACTTAGATATTTACCTCAGTGTGCTTAGTTACAGCACTGAACAACATTGTTATTATAGAACCAGCCAATCTTTCGTCATAACGGCACAGAGCATGAATAAGTAACCGTGTCTGATTAGGATTTATATTATCTTTAATTTGTTGATACAAAAATGGAAAGCCCTTCCCTCCAGTAATTGCATTATAATCTCTAGATGATAGCTGCAAAGTTTGATCAGCACCGCGTGATTTCTCAACTAGATTTGCGACAAGTGCAATCATTTTATCTAATGATGCTGGACGTGTTTTGTCAATCGAGAGCGTTTCATCTGATGAATTATCTTCAGACGATGAGTCAACCTAAAGATGTATTAAATTTTTAATAACATAACGGTCGAAAAATTTCAAATGTTTATTCAAAAAATAAATTCAAATCTCAAAAAACGTTAAAAATTCAAGTTTTGAAAAATATATTGGTAATTCCATTTATAATAGTTTGTTAAATATTTAATCAATTTTGCACTCACATTGTTGTGATTTTTGTGACCCAAATAGAAGTCAGAGACACTTTTAATGACATTAATATGCAACAAAAACTTTGTCTCTTCCTCTCCCATCCGCGAAAACTCATAAAGCAGACCAAAGAATTCCGTTAAATGCCTCAAATGTGCTTTTGCACCGTTCTCCATCAATGCAATTAATGACTTTATGAATTTCGTCACACATGACTTCTCGCCAATCACCTCATTTCCATCATCATCTGTTTCTTTTTCCAAATATAACGGCGAATGTGCTTGTCTTAAACGCTGAATAACATGAATAACAAGACGTTGAAACATTTGACGAACCATTTGATTTGGACATTGAATAAGAACTTGAACTGGCCACCAAGGTTCTTGCGACATGTGACCTAGGAACCATTCGCATGCATCTTGACTTGCGTTGAACTGCTTTGTTAAGAGCTCGACCCAAAGAACCATTGTTGGCTGGAGAATTGACATAATATGTTAATAAAATTCAGGATTTACATCCTCAAAGCTTACCTTTTCCTTAGCATGAATGAAAGTTTCGATGAAAAATGACACTGATAGCTGTGCAGCACGAAAAGTTATATCATTGAGAACCAATAATGATTGTGGAACATGACCGCAAATTTGCCACATAAAACTGCAAATAATAATTCAATTATTAACATAGTTCACAAACAGCTTAGATTTAACTTACTTAAAATAAGTATGCTCGAATATATTTCTATCCTCCAAATAGTGACGATTATCCTGCCATATCCAATCTTCAAGATCTTTACTCAACAATGACTTTCTCTTCAACTTTTCACTAGCTTTTTCATTCAGAACAAGTCCATTTTCATCCAGTGGAATATCATCATCCACAAACGGTGTCAAATCAGAGCTTTGTGTTGAACAAGATGGTGCAATTTGTAATGAATTTTTTGATTGTTCTTCTTTTGATGGTCGACGCTCATAGAAAAGCATGTAGGCAGAATTAGTCTTTTCAAAACTAAAATCTAAATACTTTTCGGTAACGGAATCGTATGTTTTGCTCTGGAATATGAATTAAAGATAAAAAATATTTAAACGACTTTTATAAATTTGAATTTTAACGACTTTCAAAAATTTAAATTCTAGCGGTTTTCAAAAATTTGAATTTTAACGACTTTCAAAAATTCGAATTTTAAGCGACTTTTGGATTGCACGAGATTCAAATTTTTGAATAACGGTTTTTTTGACAAATGTAAATCAATTAATTATTTTAAAATACAACTCACCGTCATTTCACCACCAAAGCACTCGGCAGCAATTTGCGATGGATCAAATATCTTGACTTCAGCATCATTAAACAAAAACCATCGATCACTTGTACTTTTTCTATCACTATCGCGTTCCTTAATGAAGCTATAATAATGACCACCGTCTGCCGTTCCTGTATGAACTGTCACACCAACTAAATCATATTCGTAATTTTCATTTTCATTGTCATTATCAGCACCGCTAATTGATGATGATTCACTTTCTGTAAATTTATCCTCATCGATCTTAATATTGTTAAGTTTCTCGCTATTCTCGTCACTTCCATCAACTTTTATCTTATTCTCGTCACTACTTGATTCACTCGTTGATTGAGATTTAAGTTTCTCTTCTTGATAATGTTGTGGCATTAAGGTCTTTTCAACATATCGTGACATATCGAGTCGCATTGGAAATGAGAAATGTGTATTGACTTTCTCTTTAAGCATTGTCACCATATTAAATGTATATCTCATTGTATTAAAGCACAGAATCTCTGGAAGTTTCTTAAAGCACGCCCTCTTTTCAGCACGTACTTTCTTGCTGCATGTTGAGCATGTATACATATTATCACCTTCCAATGTATCCTTAACAGTCACTTCATCCAATGATTCTTGTAAATTTCGCATGTCTGCAACTTGACAACGTACTGTATAGAATTCCTCTAATGTTCTACTAACATGATCACAATCGAGCGACACTACATTGTTGCTTATAACACCACAAAAGATTCTCTTAACGAGTGCCTTTAATTCTGGTGTCATTTCCTCTAATTTTGATACGAGATCGATGAAAAATTCAGCCATATCCTTCTGTTCGCCTGTATTTAATGGCTGATGATCCATTTGATAGACTTTACAGAACGATCGTGGATTATAAGATTTCCTTTCACTTTCCATAAGATATGCAAACATTTTTTGTAGTTCACAGAATGTCAATTTATGCTTGACAGGTGCATCTGCCATAACTGATAAGATTATTTCACGAGCTTGTGGCATCATAAAGATGTGTTGGATACAAGCAGCCATATAACATGTTGCACCTAAATTTGTTAGTCCTACATATCCACTTTCAGATCGACCATCATCTCTAGGCCAATAATCCCATGGATATGGTGAATGTGGACCTGGACGATGTTGTAGCATTAACATTTTATGCAAAAGCATATAATTCGATGGTGCATTTTTCGTTAATTCAATAAGTAAATCATATGAGGCAGCACGAGCACCTTGTGATTTACATTTAGGCAAGTCACGATTTTCAGCTGTTGGCAGTGCAAAAAGACATTCGAAAATCTTTCCAATAAATTGTTGACCAGATTGACTGTATTTAAATGGCGGATCATATTTGACTAAATTTGCCATTAAGTTAAGTAAGCCAACGAGACCATCATCCTGAATATGACGTCGTTCCAAAATGTCACGATTTTGAATTAATTTCGACACTTGGTGACACAATCCTTCAACATCAATTGTTAAATTATTTTGGACTTCCTTAATGTTTCCTTTCAATAAATCTGGCGTGGTATTGTCAACTAGCCGCGACAATAACCAAAAATAATCTCTACATGCTTGTCCATAAAGTTCCTTGCCATCATCATTAAGCGAGTAACATACAGTTTGTGTTCTCATCTTTTCAGCCGTTGGCAAGAAGCTTATTAATAGTACTAATAAAGGAACAATTAATTCACTATAAGTATGAGAATTGCCCATACAAAGACGATAAAGTGCAGCACAAGTTTCACGTCTTACATGCGGATCTGGATCATCTAAAATGAGTTTTTTTAGCCACTCATAATTCTCCTCACAACTCCACAGTATTTCACGTGCCTTCTCAGATGCATATGCAAAACAAACTAATAGATTCATAGCAAAATTAACAACTTGAGCACGTCCCCAAAATCCAGTTTTATATTGATTATCCTTTTGCGGAACGGCTGCTTCAGTTAAGATTGATGAAATTCTTGAAATTGTCTTTCGTACATCCATTAATTTTAACATATCTTCATTTAATTTAGGTATTACAATTATATTTTCTTCTTGCTTTAAATCTTCAACACCTAGTAAGCACAAAATTCTTAATAAACTACACAAACAGTCGTGGCGCCACTCATCATATTCGTCGTCATTTCTCTGCAATATTCCCGAGATGAAAATATTGTAAAGATGCTCGAGACCACCATTCTTAATAAACTTGTTGCTCCATTCAATTGATTTCTTTATTTTTATGTCTATCGACGACTCATCATTCTTCTGTTGACTATTCTCATTATTTTCGTGTTCACTTGTCTGTTCCTTTGATTTTTCTGGCATTTCATGACTACTATTACTTTTTGCCTCATCCATACTTTCCTTAATTATGGCTGCTTTCCTTGTATTCTTTCCTTTTGAAATTTTCATCTTTAATTGATTCCGTTGATGACTTGATGGCTTAATTGATGTCGAAAATCTTGATTTTGATAGACTTTCAACAATATGCAAACAGTACATGAACTTTTGTAAGTTACTTGGATCAAGCAAGTCTTGTATGCTTGCTGTATCCTCTTCGGTCATTGATGTCTTTTGATTGAATGTCAAATTTTTAAAAGTGTCAAGTAATGTTGGATTTGTTGGTAGCATCGCTAAAATGTCCCAAACACGACGAGATAATACTTGTGCCTGTGTGTGCTGTAAGATGTTTACACCTTTCTTAATTAATTTCATATTTCCAAGTGTTTGCATTAGCACAAAAAGTTGTTCGAAATATTGAGTCTGAAGGAGGAGAATTGTTGGTAAACAGTCTTTTGATGGTGGTGGCAACATTGATGGATGATCTTCATTTCTACGACCACGACTTCGTCCACCAAGTGACACATAAACAATTTGATTATCTTTGAATCCAACATCAATTAAGCTACGCTCATCATATTCACTGGTAATTTCTTGTCCTTGTGTTATTATCCTTAATGGTCCATCAGTTAGTACATTTCCGAGATTTCCCATTGACGACGAATCGCTGGAACATGATTTGCCTTGAAGATTCTCATACCATTTAGCAATTTCTGCTTTTAGGTCACCAATCAAATCTGTTTGATATAAATGCAAGTACGATTTCTCTGATAATCCGCCAGGTTGTAGAATAATCTAAAATTATACATTTATTTTAATCAAAATTTCTACTACTTTAAATAACGATTATTTTGATTTTAAATTTTACCGAACTTTTCAAATTTGAATTTTCATATCTTCACACTCTTGAAATTTTCAAATAATTTTCCAACGGATTTTATAATAAATTTAATTAAAGCTTACCTTAATAGGCGGACCTGGTCCCTCTGTTCTCAAAGCACTATGAGAATTAATGCCTTTGCCCTCTAACGCCCATCGTCTCAAATGATAAGCATACCTTCGTCTAAAAGTCTCTAAATGTGTATTAAGCAGCATAAGAGCTCGTTGGACGCACATAATAGAGTTATCTTGAAGCTCTGGCTTGTGTAAATTCTCTGATGCTTGAGTCAAATAGTTCATACATTGTTTCACGAACTCAGCTTCATTCTTCAATTGATGTTCCATATAAAAAGTGTTAATATAATTAATGGCAGCCATAGATACTTCCGTATCATTAGCACGTAGAGCAATCTTCCATAATATATCCATTCCACTCACTTCCGATCGCTCATTATTACGCCTCTCATCAGATAAAGTTAGGATGAAAAGTTGCTGGAAAAGTGTAAGTGCAACCATTGAGATGTTTTCAGGCTTTAATTCCGGCCACTTATTGCGATAAATATGCTGTATAGCCATTGGACTTAATGCATGTTGAGCACCGCCTTTTGCTTGTCCTTGCAACCAGTGAAATAAACAATCAGCACAATCTGGATCATTTGCTAAGCATGACCACAAAATATCAACTTGATTTATTGTCAATCTGCAAAAAATTGACAATTGGTGGACATAGAATTGAATATAAAAAGAGAATAATGTTTACCTAAATGTCTTCGGCGAACCAATATCACAGAAAACCGATGCTAAAAATTGTAATCGGACCTGAATTTGTGTCGTATGAGAGTACAAGTAATCACCATTCTTATTCTTAACTAAAACTATACACGGTTCGTCCATCGACTGTGACTCTGCTCTAATTCTTGATTGTTTCACATAGTTGCAATAATGCTTAAGATTACTGATGAAATGATGCATCATTTTATGTTGACGTTCGGCCCACATTGTCACTTGATGAGTTCCAATATCACGAAATTGTTGAAATGAAGCCAATAGTTTGGGAATCAGTCTTAAGCTCACAATGACACTTCGATTATTTGCGATATTTACTAAGCATGCCTCTATGAACTTTTTACGGATGGTTTTGTCGGTGTGAAAGCACACGAGAGAGCTTAGTGTCTTTTCTGTTTCCAGTGCTAATGTTTCACCAAGAAACCCCTGAAAAAATAAATTAACGGTAGTTTAGTATTTGAATTTTAACGGTTTTCAAAAATTCAAATAAATCGGTTATTTTTCAAAAAAATTCAAAATAAAAAGGACGTTAAAAACTTACAATTTTGTCATCTTGCAGCAGATCCCAAAGTAACGTGTTTCCAGGCTGGCAAATGTCTGGAGATTTTGTTCGCATCGATGACTGACTCGAAGAATTTCCACTGGACTTGTTTTTCTCACCAGAACTCTCAGAAATTTGTTTGTTTGGCTTGTGGAGATTGTCAGGTGTGCTTGATCGATTTTCTCGCGAAAATGAGAAGCATTGATTAGGTTTTGTAGTACTTAGAGCAGACAGTTCTTCACACGGCGATTCCTCATCATCAAAATCAGCAAGATTCTTTTCAGATTTTGTGCTCATTGGCGATGAAGAGCCATCATTTTCAGTTGATCTTAAATAGTCCATTAAATGGCAATTTTCGGATATAGCACGAAAGAATGATTCGTCCTTATTAAGACGATCTAGTACATCATCATGAATACCTTCACTACAATCACTACCACCAAATAATTGATCACAGTCTGAATCACCATCGGAAATGCTTTCAACCATTTCTTGGATATCCTTTCGTGTCAATTGCTTCTTTCGCTTTTTCCTTAACTTTTTACGATCACCAATAATCTTTTCATTAATCTCAATTCTCTCATCATCACTACTCGAATTTTGAGCATTATATGAATTAATTCGATGTCCAATAAGTGGATAAATTTGCTTCTTATCTTTTCCCATTTCATACATTTCTTGCTGGATCTTTCCTTCACAGACTTTCTTTCTTAATGATGCTAAATTCCCTCTAGCCTGTTTACATGGCGGTGGACCAGAATCTGATTCTACTTCTATTGGACTTTTATGACATTCATCACTGCTATCATCTTCTGGATCTTCTGCATGTCGATGATCATCCTCACTGTTACTTCCATCGACACTAACACTATTTTCAGAACTTGATGGAATTTCAGTAATTTCACGGACATTACTTGATGCCTCACTACTAATTACATGACGATTACGATCTCTTGTCCAAATGAGTTTAGTAAGAGCACTAATTATAAAGATTGTTTGTTCCGTATGCTCTTTCGGATCTAATTTGCACAACAAGGAATACAGATATGAAGCTGGTTTTGGTGCTAAATTCTTGACAAGTGCTGGTAAAATGTCATAAATTGGTTTCGAGCAGTGCTTCAATTGTGATGCTTGCCAAATTAAGGAAATGTGCTCTTCCGTTATGTGATTCTCAACAGCCAAAAAGTTTAAAACTATATGAGACTGTTTAATGATCTCTGCATGTAAATTAGGTCCAAATAAATGCGAAATTATTTGATTTTCTGTCAACCAATCAGCAAGTTTACGACCAACAAGTTCCACTTCCGCGACTGTTTCGGTTGTACATATATCATTGAACCAATTAATGTGGGCATTAATTTGCGACATTCCAGCTAGGCGCATTGTGAGCGTTGATGATGTAAAATATTTAAATGCCAGAGCTAGTCCTTCCGTATCAAATGTCAACTGTGAATCTAGTGGATCTTTTATTGCTGACCACATGAAATCTATAAAAAAAATTAATAATTCATCAAAGGAATAAATTTGATGCCGAATACATACCTGCCATGGACTTTGTGGCCTGCGAACGAAGATCTTGATCCGAGAGCTTACACATGTATTGAAGGACTTTAATTCTTAAAGGAACAAAGAGTTGAACGATACTTCTATAATTAAGCCATAATTTAATGTTGGAAATAGCGACTGTACAGGCATGAGCTAATGAGAGCGGTAGATCTGGAATCTCAAAACATTGTGTCATAGCTCCGAAGCCTCCAGCAGAACAGAATAATGTAACATTATGGTAAAGATAAACTGGAATTTCTGTATCGTGTATATCACAAAACATTGAAACTGATTGTATCTCTTGTTGTGTACTTTCATGTCCATAGTGCACTCCATGTTTATGTGCGATGTATAACGGAAAGTTAAGAAGAAATACTTTCGATATAAAGATTAAGACCTTTTCAAGCTCAAGAACTGTCCAAATTTCATCACTATTGCCGCTTTTTTTCGTTGCCTCCAACTTCTCCTTGTTTACAACTTCATCAATGTCTTCTTTTTCCTTCTTATTACTACTTTCATCATGATTGACTTTTTGTTGTGCTGGAAGTTCCTCAATTCTTGATGTATTGGCTAGAATTATCTTAATATCCTTCAATTTGTTCACAATTAGATAGATTAATGATCTTATAATGTAATTAAAACGATCGAAATTCTTCAAGTCTCGATAACAGCACATACATTGTCTAAAACGAGATGGAAATGAATGTATTACAATTAAGTTTTTGTTCCTTTACATGATGTAGACTATTAACCTTTGTGACTGAGGCCATAAAATGTATGCTAAAACTGTCTCCACTTCACTCTTACTAAGATCTTTTAGATTACTGTGGTCATTCTTCTTGTGTCCTATAAGTCTTTGATCGCCTGCAACAAACGAGAAAAGCTTAAATATTTTGGAACAAAACTGACTTTTTTGTGTAAAAAGTGATTTTCACTGTCAAAAAAGTATTGTGGATGTGATTGAACTTGTGGTATAGCTTAAGCTTAATGTAATTAACAACTTACATGATTGTAAAAGTGCCAAAAAATCAGAACAAATTGATAATTCACACATTCCTGACTTTTTTGGAATCTTTTCGTTTTTTTCTTTGAAATTTTTTTTTTCCTTTTTCCTTTTTCGACGATTTTTGATGTTTTCTAAAACTTATCGCACTCTACATTTTACCTCAATCGATTATTGTTATCCTATGTTTCGTATAGTGTAACTTAATTACTTAATATTATTAGCTAAACCTTGTTTTTAATTAATTTTTAGAAGTTGTGTAAAATTTTCAGTTGACTTGAACTCGTTTGGGGCCGTTCATAAATGACATCCAATATTTTAAAGGTCGAGAGGGAGGGGGTAAACACAAATATTGTACTGGGGGTCCTCGATTTGAGTAGTTGTTTTGTTCCAAAAAATTTCTATTCAAATCGAATCTATTCAAATCGAGGCAAAGAATCCATACAAAATTACATGTTTTGTTCCAGAGTCCAAAAAATGAATCAAAACAATGAAAATCTTGATCATTTTTTGCACATTTTACCTCGTTTCTTAACTTTTCCTTTGTGTTTTAGATAACTTAATTTATTTCAACGCATATTCATATTGTTTTTAAACGGAAATTCACAAAAAAAATGTTTTTGAAACAAAACAAAAATATGAGAACCTTGCAAATGTTATTTCACTGAACAATTTGTAAGGTTTTTGAATTTGAACTTTTTAAAATCGTTGATTTTATATCAATTTTTTAAATTTTTACTTTAATTTTGTAACTTTAGTATTGATTTTTCTATCAATATGATAAGTTCACGCTTATCGCAGTAAAATTTATGTTTTAAAATTATTTTCTGAAATGTTTTTATCAAAAATATTTGTTTTGTAAACAATTCAAATCGAAGAAAACAGGAAGAAATCTACTCAAATCGAATATTTTGGTGGGTAATAAATTTTCTGTTCAAATCGAATCTACTCAAATAGAATCTACTCAAATCGAGGACCCCCAGTAATAGACTTAAGTGGGTTGAAGTTATAAAAATCTACCTTTTTGATTAACGTCATTTATGTACAGGACCCAAAATTTTTCAAAATTGTCAAAAACCGTTATTCTTCCAATCAAAATTTTTTTGAAAATGTTTTAAAACCATACAACAGCTGTGATACAAGAAACATTTGAATGGTTTTTAAACATTTTGTAATTGTTTATAGTTTTTAAAAACAAAAACAGTTTTGAACTATTGTTATTAAAACTTATATGCTGTAACGGTTGATTTAGATCGAAAATACTTTGTGAATCTTATAGAGGTTTTTGATTCAATAAAGGTTGCAGTTCAGTAAAGTTCCATTGTGCAAAGCGATTACTTCGAGACTGTTCTTAAGTAAATCTAGTGGAATTAATTACTTTTATTGACAATTCGCATTTCTAAAGGCATACAAGGTAAGTACTAAACTTAATTATATTAATTAGACTTGGATTCAGTAAATGACAGAGGAATATATGATGTAAATTTTGCTTAAACTTTGAAACACATTTTTAACACTTCTAAATCATTATGCAATGGCTGAATATACAGTATTTTACTTAAATACTTCGAATATTATATGACCAGCTAAAGATCGTTGACATATTTTCGGCGAAAATCGACATTTAATATAATTAATCAGAAACTGATAATTTCTAACCTTTATGTCCATCTTCAATTTGTAGATGTTCCGACTTCCTACAATTTTGAGAGCAACGACTGCTCGTCAACTCGCTTTCCGTAAATATGCTAAAGATGTCAAGTTTGGAGCTGATGTCAGGGCATTGATGCTTCAAGGTGTTGATATTCTGGCTGATGCTGTTGCCGTCACTATGGGTCCAAAAGGTCGAAATGTCATTCTAGAACAATCTTGGGGATCACCAAAAATCACTAAGGATGGTGTCACTGTCGCTAAAGGAATCGAATTAAAAGACAAATTCCAAAACATTGGTGCCAAATTAGTTCAGGATGTCGCCAATAACACAAATGAAGAAGCTGGAGATGGTAAATACCCTACACTCCATTATTACTTCTTATATTCATTTTAATCTATTGTGAATTTGTATAGGTACAACAACTGCCACCGTTCTTGCCCGAGCAATTGCCAAGGAAGGCTTCGAGAAGATTTCAAAAGGAGCTAATCCAGTTGAAATTCGTCGTGGTGTAATGATGGCTGTTGAAACAGTAAAAGAGACACTTAAGACACTCTCTAGACCAGTCACAACACCCGAAGAAATCGCACAAGTCGCTACAATCTCAGCTAATGGTGATCGTGCAATCGGTGATCTTATCAGTGATGCAATGAAGAAAGTCGGAAAGGATGGAGTTATTACTGTTAAGGATGGAAAGACTTTAGTTGATGAACTTGAAATTATTGAAGGCATGAAATTTGATCGTGGATATATTTCACCTTACTTTATCAATTCATCAAAGGGCGCCAAGGTTGAATTTCAAGATGCTTTGTTGCTTCTATCAGAGAAAAAGATTTCAACTGTCCAAAGTATCATTCCAGCCTTGGAACTTGCTAATCAACAACGCAAACCACTTATTATTATCGCTGAAGATTTAGACGGTGAGGCTCTTTCAACATTAGTTGTCAACAGATTGAAAATTGGTCTTCAAGTTGCTGCTGTTAAAGCACCAGGATTCGGTGATAATAGAAAATCAACATTATCTGATATGGCTATTGCTACTGGCGCCATTGTTTTCGGAGATGATGCTAATTTAGTTAAAATTGAAGATGTTCAACTCTCTGATTTCGGTCAAGCCGGTGAAGTTGTTATCACAAAAGACGACACTTTGTTATTGAAAGGAAAGGGAAATAAGTCTGATATCGATGCACGTGCACAACAAATTAGAGATCAAATTACTGATACAACATCAGAATATGAAAAAGAGAAGCTTCAAGAACGATTGGCTAGATTAGCATCAGGTGTTGCTGTCCTTAAAGTCGGTGGATCAAGTGAAGTCGAAGTAAATGAGAAGAAAGATCGTGTAAATGATGCACTTTGCGCAACAAGAGCTGCTGTTGAAGAAGGAATCGTTGCTGGTGGTGGAACTGCACTTTTAAGATGTATCCCAGCATTAAACAATCTCAAAGGCAAAAATAATGATCAAACAATTGGAATTGAGATTGTCAAGAAGGCTCTTCGTATGCCATGCTTTACAATTGCCAAAAATACCGGAGTTGATGGATCTGTTGTAGTATCAAAGGTTGAGGATAATTCTGGAGATTTCGGATATGATGCACTCAATGACGAATATGTCAATATGTTCGAAAAGGGTATCATCGATCCAACAAAGGTGAGTTGATGCTCTAAAACCTTACAAATTTTATATATTTTTAAACATTTGAGAGGTTTTTAAAACTATAGAACGACAAATTAAATTGGTTTAATGTTTAAAATCCATACAAATGTTTTGATTATAAAACTATACAAATGTTTTAAAGATAACACTTGTAAGGTTTTCAATCATTTGAAAATAATTAACGTATTTCTCTAATCAATAATAATCTTCATTACAGGTCGTGAGAACAGCTTTGACTGATGCCGCTGGTGTTGCATCATTATTAACAACTGCTGAATGTGTTGTGTGTGAGATTCCAAAAGAAGAACCAGCAGGTGGTGGAATGGGAGGCATGGGTGGAATGGGAGGTATGATGTAAAAAACCCGAATTCACTCTCAAATCAGCTAAACACACATAACAATAACAAATATTAATGTTAAGTCTTGCATTTAAAATTTATTAGTTAATAATAGTTGTATAGACAATTTTTAAAGAAACAAAGAATAAGATTCAGTCAAGAAATTATCACCATAGTTGTAAGCCAAAAATGGATCATCAGCATTTGTTATTATCTTGCGAAATGATCATCGAAACAAAAGTTTTTGTTTGTTAAAAATCAATTTTCTCAAAAAGAATGTAGGAAGAAAATTTCTGAACTTGATTCAATCCTAATGGGCAGGTATTTTGAGTCATTTACACAAATTTTAAGATGAAATTCTCTCAGTCTATTTTAATTAATCGTACGTGATATTGTACTTTTTGTTTTTTTATAAGAAAAAAAAAATCAAAAAGAGGAAAGAATATTAAAAGAAAATTCCATTGGATTGATGCAAAAAGATAATAAATAGAAAACTTATTTACCTGAAAGATGAATGAAATAACGAACTTTTAACATTTGAAAACTTTTTGATTTTTTTCAGTGATGTAGTTATTACCCTGCTATGTTGATAATTTTCAAGAGCAGTTTCTGAGGCTATATGCGGCAGTAGCTTCACTTTGTCTTGTTGTATATGTTCTATTGAGCATAACTTCTATGAAAACATTACAAATGTTTAAAAATCCAAATAAAAATTTGTAAGGTTTTGAAATTCAAATCATATAAAGCCGTTAAAATTTTGAAAAAGTATTTCAAGTTTGAAACTTTTCAGGCAGAACATTAAATGCGTATCAGACATCGATTCAATCTGCATAAGTGACTTTAATACTAGTTTTTCCTTAAATATCACCGCTCGTATTTTATAAACTATCTTAAAATTGACGTAGAACTTGAATTAAACTATTATTAAATATGTCTACTATAAGTGAATTAAACCGTACGACAGAAGAGAAGCTCGATTTAGCCAGAGAAAAGCTGAAAGATCTTAACGAGAGGATTTTCGGAAGGTGTGTATTTTGATAATTTTAAATGAAAATTTTAATAACTTTAATTAAACATTTACAATTGATTTGAAGCGAGAAGAACAGAGAATTCACAAACAATCAACGACGAAGGCCAATTGACATGAAACGTACTTTATCCTCAAGTTCAAATTCAAGTATAAAGGATAGACTCAAATTTTCTGATCATGAAGACGAACATCCCAAAATCATGTCTCGAGTTGTCAGCAATAAAGAAGCATCAATCACAAAGCGAGAACAAGTTATTGCTATGCAATCACGTCAAAATGACATCGGACGTAACAAGAGAATGTTTGGAAGTCTTTTAGGTACATTGCAGAAATTTAAAAAGGAAGAGAACTTCCTAAAGTCAAAAGAGGAAAAGAAGGCACTTATTGAGAAGAAATTGGAAGAGCAGGAACAACTTGAAAAGATTAAATTGAAAGAAGAGAGAGATGCACTCATAGCAAACAGAAAGAAAAAGCAACTGGAAGTGAAAACTCTTGAGACAAAAATGGATAAATTACGTGATCTACAAGTCTGGGAAGAGAATCAAAAGAAGTCATTAAATTACATTAAGACGTCCACAAAACCCGCAATATTTTGGTTGCCAAAAGTAATGAACTCAAAGACCACAATCCTCCAAAGTAAGTGCAGTCAGGAAATCAGTGAGATGATTGAAGAGCGCAGGAAGCAAGTTGATGAGGAAATTAAGGAAATTGAGAGCCATGTTGAGAAGGAGAGTGAATCAATTGACGAGCATGAAGCTGATAAAAAGAATAATTCACATAATGATGATGATCCGTCGGAGAATGGTGGACATAAAATAGACAGTAGCGAAAGAGGTAAGAAAATTGAGTCTTGTGGTGTTTTCTGGCTTTTGAAATGGGTTCAGACGGTAACTTGAATAAACCTGGATGAGCTTTAGAATAGATCCAGAACAAAGATGTGAAACTGATCAATCCAGCTTAATTTTAGTTCTATAAGCCACTTCAAACTGCCCTATCATCCGAAAACTCAAATTAACAATACTCTATCTATTTCAGGTGTAAAGAGACGACAAAGTTATTCACCAGAAGTCAAGAAGCGAGTGTGTTCTCAAGTAATAGTGAAGCCAAAGGAATAATAATGCTTGCATGTGTCGGGGCTGGTCAAATTTCAAGAAAAAAAATTTAATAATATTTTATATGTTAGAGATAATATCTTTAACGGAATTAAGGCTTAGATTGTAAAAAGTTGAAGAAAATGTTTAATTTTTAAAAAGAAAAATCTTAGATTGACCTAAGAATGAAAAGGAATCAACTGATTATTTGAGCTGACAAATATATAAACAAAACTTTAATTCAGAACTTAGATTGAAAGGATTTGTGTAGTCAAGTATGGCAGTTATGTCCAAATTCTGATCTTTAAGTTGCTTATTTTTGCCCTAATTGTGCCGTATTATTGTCAAGTGACATGAAAACTGCTTGAACTTCATGTCACTGACGAAGTTTGGACTGACCTGTTTTTGATTCTTCACTGCACATTTTCCTTTCAAATCACTTCCATTTTCACAGAATATTCACATAATTTCACTTATCGGAACCACCATTTTGAGTCGCAAAGTATATGAATAATATTAATTACAGTAGAAAAGAAATTGAAGCATTTGATAAAGAAGATTTCCTGAAATAAAAACACTATTAAATAAATATAAACTGATGCTTAATGTTCTATTTTCATGCATAATTAACAAAGTTCTTCAAAAACATTAAAAAACAACGGTTATTAAAATTTTGAAAAATGTACAGAAAACAATATAAATGTCAAGAATTTGTAGGTTTTTAACAAAAACCAAACAATTTCATGAAACTGTTGAGGGGTTTTAAAAAGTCAGCCATATTGAAACTGTGTCAATTTCGTGAATCAACATTAATTAAAGTATTTTAAAGGTTACTGTCCTATTTATCAAGCAATGACTACAATTAGGGATCTTCCGGACGAGATATTGATCGAAATATTCTCATTATTAAGTCCAAAGATGCTTCAAAATTGTAATTTGGTCTGCAAATAGTAAGTTGAATGGTTTGGCGCTTCTTTTATCAAAAATATTAAGGTTTAATGTTTAATTCATAGCTGGGATGATTTAATTAGCAATTCTTTAGTCTTAATGGATCAATATGAAGTACGATTGAGGGATTATGATTCAGAAGAAAAGGAAGTCACTCGAAGAATCGATACTGTTTTTATAAACGACCTGAGTATGATGGAATCGATACATTATTATGAATAACCTTGATAATCGATGTGCAAGTTGCTAATTCAACCGATCTGGATAATTTTGTTCAAGCTATCAATAGTCTTGAGACGCTCAGGCATTTAGCTGTTTTCTTCCTGGTTGATATCTTGCCAAAACACTTCAAGTCTATCCACAACAAACTTGAAATATTGCATACCACATCCTTAATGGTCAATCTCTTCAGCTGCGACACTTTAGAAGTTCTTGAATTGTTGTGGGATTCAAATTTGCAATTTGATAGGAAAGCTGAAGCACTTGAATTTCTCAATAAGCAAGAGAATCTTTTGGAACTAAAATTGGGTGATACTGAAAGTGAATTTATTGATGATGATTACTATGATTATACTGATTTTATGGATGATGATGATTATGGCCATGACTTCTTCAGTACACCAAATTTGGAGGAATTTAAACCAATATTCAGCTTGGAAAAATTCAGCTTTACATGCACATCTTTAAAATTTGAACGGCATGCTGAATTGATATTATTCCTTAACTCACAAAAGAACACCTTACAGTCGCTGTCATTGTCTCTTCATGCTGCAACTATTGAAACAATCGAGAAAATCCAAAAGTTTGTTCTCGAAAAGCTTTTAAAGGTGACTAAATTGGGATTCTTTATAAATGTTCAAGATGATTTTCGATCTGATAGTGAGCCTATGAATAATGATGAGCCCAATCATGCTACAGCTGTAACAAATAATATAAATGAATTCAGATTTAGAGGATTGCATCGATCCTTGGATGAGAATAAGAGATTCATCGACAAATTTGAGAATTTAAAGCATTTATATCTACGTGCTGTCTATAGAGATGATTTTAAGCTTCTCGATTACATTAGCATTACAAAACTTAATTTGGTTTCATTGAAGCTTGATCGATTTGATGCTTCTTTTGAAGGTATGCCGAGAGTCTACTTTCCAAAGCTCAAGACGCTCTTTATTGGATATTTTGAACATAATGTTCGTAATTGGACACAGAGAAAAGAGAGGATTTTCAATTTATTCATACAAAAGCATGATAATACATTGGAAGAGATAAGTATCAAATTCAACTCAGTCTCTAAACTTACCATCGAGGCAATAATAGGATGTCGAAGATTAAAGTGCTTAGAATTTCACTGCGATGAATTTGTTGAAACTAAAAGCTTGCAGTTATTTATGAAGGTTCTAGAGGATGTGCCATGTAAACTACCCAAATTGACTTTAAAGTTACCAGGACACTCGTTTGTGTTTCCTGATGATGAAAGATTCTGGGACAAGTTGTATCCAAAGCCTCCGGTTCCAGTGCTAGTCAAAAACTTCTTTAAATTCATGCTGCATGTCGTTTTATTTGTGATGTTTTTTAGATTCATACTCAAACCAATTTCACTTTTTCTATATGAATTTATACTAGCTAGAATTTAAGCAGTCAATACTACTATTTTTGATCCTGTAATTTCATTCCAATCTATTGTTTCGATTTACAGCTACTAGAAATTAGTTATTTTTGTGAAATTTTATTTGTTTAAAGCTGCAATCTTTTATGTTCTTAAAGTTATTTTAAAAGAATAAATTTGTTCATCTACAAGAATCTACTGATTCATGTCAACTGATTGTTTTATTCGATTGCCAAAAAAAAATTCAAAATAACGACTGAATTATTCTTTAAAACCGTTCAAAAGCTTAAAAACCTCTCAAATGTTTCATTCAAATCATTACAAATTCAAAATTTAAATATCCCTTATTAAAAATGGCTGTTGAATGGTTTCGAAATTCAAACGATTCTGAAAGATTCAAAACTCAAAATTACGTTAAAAATATTATTACATTTCAACTTTTAAAATTTAAATTCAAATCATTTTGAATAATATTCTTTCAAGCATCAATATTTGAAATGAATAAATTAACATAATTAACTGTAAGAGATAAAATCTCAAAAATCGAGAATGGATGCATCAAATAACAATTTTCATCCATTTTGAATACCATGAAATGTTATTTTATTATGTAAATTAGTTCTGAGTCTCTTTATTCCATTTTTATAGACATAAAATTTGATTCTTTCTCAAACCCTATCCTATCTTTTTTTAATAGTCTTCTTTCTTTTTTATTTCGAATAAATTAAATCTGTAAAAAATGTCGGCATCTTCCTTCATTAAAGATTCTCTTTTTTATAGTCATTAAAGACTTTTTAAAATGATGGCTTTTGTGTGGGTTTATGAGAATCGCTGAGGTTTCTTTTGAGATACAAAATAAGAATTTTTTGATCGATTTTTCGTGTAGTTTTTAGTGACATTCAGCTTCAAAATTCAGTTTAGCGACGCAAAATTATACTCTTCTGTTGATTTTTTCATCAGTTGACTGGCATCGACCTTTCTAGTTTAATAAAACATTTTAAACAATAATAAAATTTCAGTTTGCTTTTCACACCTCGATTGCGCCATGTGCTATATTTGAGACAGTCTGTTAATGAATTTGGCTGCTTTGAAGATGGAAAGTTAATAATGGCAACTTTAAACATTAAAGATTGAATGAAAGCCACAGCAAGGACAGACTTTAAGGACCATAAAATATCAAAAACACTGTGTAACTCTGTAGCAAGAAGCATGGATCACAACAAAAAAATGTCACGCATCAGGACGACCAATAAAAATGAAAATGCGACATTGTAGCTGTTCTGCAGAGCTTTGATTTCTGGATTTTATGTGATGATTTTTAATATTACTGTTCCACGCCTTTATCAAGCATTAAACAACATAAGAAAGAACATAACAGGGCCGAAAAAAATATATCTAGCAGTAAAATTGTTCCTTTTTATCAACAACAGAATGACAGAATGGAAGCGTGATGATAAAAACTCATTTGGCTTTTAACATAAATTGGATTTTGTCACCATGAGATCATAAAAGGCTGTTTTTATGTGATCTTAGATCCTTTATATGTTATTTTTTGTTTTTATGGACTTGGTTCCTTCATAATTTAATTTCGATTCCTCAGCAGAATTGAGAGATGTTTTGGGGTGGTCGGAAAAATTGGAATTATTGAATAACGGGTAAATTTTATTTGAATTATTTTACTGAATTCACTCAAAGCTTCAGAGTTTAAGTTTTTTCTTGAAAAGCCCTTTATTTTCAGGAAAATTCAACATAGAACTACTTAATCTTAAAGACTATAGTGAATACTAAACATACATTAAGATCCAGCTAGGATATTAAGTCGTTTTTGGCACTTTTTATGAATTTCTATTTGAAACTTTGTTTCGTTGACTTTTTGTTAAGAAAATTCAAAATTATAAAACCCGTTAAATTATACAACATTTATTGCATCAATTAACAAGAATAAAATCTAAAACAAAGGCAGTTTTGAACATCTACAACCCATTAACTATACCCGATTCCCACGCATAATCCAATTCCAAACACATCCACAAGAAAATTTACAGCATCAACAAAATGCTCTCAATTTATCAAGGGAAGCATTAAAAGTTAATTTTCCAGCAGTTCCTTACTTATAAAATTCAAGACATACACATTTTATGATACATGGCAGAAAACGGTACTTTAGAAAATTAAATCGAATAAATTTTTATTTTTATCGTTCGTCATGCTGCTTCCTTTTTCTGTCTTATCTGGCAAAAAAAATGTGCTCTGCTTAAATTATTAAAAATTGAATTCTGTTCTGTTTATTTTCTTCTATTCTGTATCTAATTCCTTGAAGAAGGGTTTCAGCCACAACAGAAGCATAAAAAATTATTTTTTGCCTCTTTTTAACTCGCTCTGCATGCCGTAAACCATAAAAAGAAGTTGTTACAATTTTTTTTTCTCTTGGAGTTGTTCGCAAGTGATGTTGAATATAAATTGGATTTTTAGACCCATTTGACATTTGTCACTAAAGTTCTAGAGTTATGTTCGAGATCATAGACCTCATCCTGATCCCTAATGGCTCTTATACTCAATTAATTACGAGACATAACTGATTTATGAATCCCAAATCTTAGTTCTGCAAATTGTTGCTCTATATATTCCCAAATTTATGGACAAATATTTTGTGTAACTTTTCAACGGTTTAATGCGTCGGAAGAAGTTGCATAATTCCTTTTGTATGTAGCCATAAAAATAAAAATGAGAATTTTTTAAAATTTATATTTTTTGAGTTCGAAGCAAATTGCTTTCAGAAATAGAAATAGTTTGAAACTTGATACTAGTTCTTATGGTTGAAATTTTAGAGTTATTGGTTGAATGAGTTTTGTGGACGTGAGTCTAGTGTGGATTTTATTAAAAGGGTTTTGATGTTTTTGAGGATGGAATTGTGAAAAGTTTATGATTAAGTGAGAATAAGATTTTATGAAATTCAATGTCTTTGAAGAATATCAAAATCAGAGTTGACTTTGAATTATTTTTGTTCAACATAAAATTCAGTGAAGTTAAAATTCAAACAATTAGAAAATAAAAGTTTAAGTTTGGAATCATCAATCCTGCAAAGTAAAACCAATAATTATGGATCAGCATTTAGAAAACTTTAAAACTTCTGTAGACTTCAGCTGTAAATCATTCATTATCAAAATACAAATTAATAATCATGAATGTCCCTTAAGCAAGTAAGTTAAATACAAATTTGTTGGATTCTTAAGTTCAATCAAAACATAATGGAGTACATTTTGGTTTTAACATGGCTGTCGACATATCTTCGGCTCTTTCTACCGCTGGCAATTTATGATAAATTTAATAAGAGGTTTGAATTTTTGAGATTGAAAACCCAAAGTCAAGAGTTTCTAAGATAAAAATGTTTGAAATTGTAATTATCAATTCTTTTCATTATGGTTAATGTAAATTTGCTTGATTTTTGCCTAACTTGAAAGATTAAGTTTGAATTTCGAGGAATTTAAATATCAAATGATTCTTCATTTAGAAGTTTCTCATTTTTAAAGATTATTTGAGAGATTCTTATTCTAAAACTAGCAAGAACAATTCTTAAAATGTTCACAATTCCTTCAAAAATCTCTTAAAAATCCTGAACAATAAAAGAATCCTAAAAAGCATTTCTTAAAGATACAATAAAATCCATTTGAGCTACTTACAACAAAACAATTTTTATCCGTGCATAAATTTTTCAAAATATCCATTTTCTCATTCACAATACACCAACATTGAGTAAATTGAAGTAAATTTAAAATGTAAATGGAGTCTGGATATGAAATGGAAAATTTATGGCACCATCAAGAATGGGAAAAAAGAGGGATAGACATGCAGCATCCTTCATATAGATTTACATAGTTTGTATTCTGAGATAAATCTTTAATGCACACGAAAAAAAAGGAACGAGAAGAAATTTCAATATGCCATAATACACTTTAATTTGAAAAAGTCACTTAAGAAAGTCCTCCATGCTTTATTATATCCATAGCATTAAAATAGAAATAAAAATCTCTCGAAGGGGTGCTTGAATGAGGACGAAATGTTAAGGGGAAATAAAAATGTCGTATTTTTAATTTATTTGAATTGCAAACAAAATGTCAGAGCGTTACCCTCGCAACTTTTTTTCGTCTATGCATCATCTTTTGATTGTAGTGTCACCCTCGTAAGAAATTACTGAAAGAATATAATTTTTGTTTTTGGAAATTGCTGTTTTGTGTTGCGATAAAATGAAGATTAGGGGATTCAGTATGGCTGAGAATGTGAATGGCTGACTGCTCGTAGTCATGCGCTATGAATTGAGGAGCTTGATATCTTGGTAGGATTTATTGAGACTTGGTGAGACTTTTTAAGGTTTAGTGAGTTTGATGAGTCTTGTTGAGTGAAGCTTGGTTTGGTTTGTTGAGACTTTGTGTTTGAAAAAATTACATCCGATTGCGCTTCAACTATTATCCACTTCAATTCATCCACCAACTTACCAATCCACTCTTCTCTTCTATTTTATTTGACAATCGCTCGCTTCAAAACAGAAATTGATTGTTAAAAATTTTCCATTTAAAGATTTTTTTGATAGAACATAATTCTGAGTGATTTTTACGACTTGAATTGAATTGAATTTTTGAGTTTAACGAGTTTGCATTAACAAAACAAAAAATATATAAAGAAGGAGAAAGAGATCTAGCTATAGAAATTCAAGAGCCATGTTGTTTTGATAACAAAGAATTTCTAATTCATTTTGAGAACGAAAAGCAAATGGCCATATTAAAAAATCTTTTGTGATTTACAGTCTGGAATGGGGAGTCGAGAAGAAATGGATGATATTAAAATAATCAAAAAATTCATGTAAAGAATTTTGTGAGGAATCCACATGATTCACCGTAAAATTAAGATTCGTGTTAGGGGTTTGTTTTTAAATGATGTTCAATCTATTAATCAAGTTATAAGGTTTTTGAACCATGCGACATTCGTCCTTCAATCTATAACAAGAATTTTAAAGATGAGCTGATCTTTTAAGTCTTTTGACATGCATGGCAATCTTCACAGGCATAGCTGGATGAACCTATAGATCATAATAGATTCCGA